GTGATGGCAAACAGGAAAAGATTGATGAGACCTTCAAGAAAGTAAAGAGGAAAGTAGATCGTTTCAAGGGAATGTCAGAGGAGGAGGTCATGAAGAAGACTCTACCAGACCTGCTGGACTACAACCTGGATTATGTCATTGTAAGATTCCCTTCTCAGCTAGTTAACTGTAGAGCCATAGAGCGTTCTGTTAATGGAAATTATTCTGATTTCGTAAACTTGACAAAAGTCTGCTGTTTGCTTTCAGATTGGTATTAATCCTGGGCTGATGGCAGCTTTCATTGGAAGATGGTTCCCAGGTCCTGGAAATCATTTTTGTAAGTTATGATGCAAGATTGATTTTGGGTTGTCTTATAGTTAAAAAAAAAAAAAAAAAGTTTACGTTGCTACGGAAGTGATTGGAGAATCATGTCAAATACATGTTGTTTCCAATTTATGATGTACATGTAAGTAGACCTAATACAATCTAATGCACGTTTCTTTGCAATAAATCTAAACTTTGCGAAGGTTGTTTTGCCCAGTTTTTGTTGAAACTGTGATAGTGAGGTGTTGATTCAAATATTTGATCATTCTAGAGGATGTAGTTGTGTTAAATGTGTATGTTAAATTGCAACCTGAACAAAGCATTAGAACCTCACTGAAGGTAGGATTTATTGCAAGATTGTTGTATTAGACTGCATCAGTTTTGACCAGACATAGTTAATAACGGGGCAGCTGACCGTACTTTAGATTATTCCTAGCTTTTCACAATTCACAAAAATGTGTATGGGAAGGGTGTGCATGTGATCCAGTACTACATTTTTAAGACCTGTTTAAGGTTTTAGTGTCTAGGGTGTGGACCGTTTTTGTGAGAGTGTATAAAGACATACAATACATTTTCTAGAATTAATGTTCCATGTCATAAATTGAAATTAATTAAGATGCTGTGACTTAATTAACTTCAGAAAAATACTTTGTAATTTGTTAGCCACAGATATGAATGACCAGATAGCCTTTTGTTTTCAGGGAAATGCCTGTTTCTCTCTGGATTCACCGAAGAGCAACTCAACCACATGCATGACAGCACCCTGCCTGCCAAGTACAAAATGGGCTTCACTAACATGGTGGCCAGGGCAACACCAGGAAGCAAAGACCTTTCAAGGTGTGTATATAGACTGACAGGAAAATAAAGCAACATGTGAGTGTTAAAGTTTGAAGAAAAGCCACAATAGCTGACTGAAAGGCTGATAGTGCACTTATTTCTTAGATAGGATTTTTGCTGAAGTGCTGTATTGTAACCATTTTTGTTTTGTTTTCACTCAACAGCAAAGAGTTGCGTGAAGGAGGCAAAATTCTCACAGAGAAGTTGAAAAAATACAAGCCTCTTATTGCAGTGTTTAATGGAAAATGTAAGTTCTCTTCTACTACAATGCTATAAATAGAGTAAAACTGTTTGCTTGATTGAATTAAGGTAATATTTTTCTGTTTTTTTCTTTTCTTTCATCTCAGGCATCTATGAAATGTTCTGCAGAGAGATGTTTGGAAAAAAACCAAAAACTCTAGAATTTGGTTTGCAGCCACACAAGATCCCTGATTGTGATGTGGTAAGAAATCCAGCCCTTATTTTCAGAGTTTGAATTTTATTGGGGATGAAATAATACAGTTCATTCATCATGCCTAAGAATGACATTTTGGTATGTGAGAAAAAAAAATCCTATGATTTTATTTATACTTAAGGGGCCAGTATCAATACTGGCTTTGTTTCTACACTTCTGAACGTGCAGGATAGCAGATGGAGAACAGACAGTACGTAAGAGAAGAATAAACACTGTGGGCATTGCCAACCCCTAAGGTCCATTGTGAGCCAAGAAAACCCTGTTGATACTGAAAATGTGAGAAGACAGTGGAGCAATTAAAGAGACCTAAAATGTTTGTCTAAGAAATATTCAAATCACAGCAGATAGATTAAAAAAATAGCTGCCAATTTAAAACAAACAAAAAATAGCTGTCAAACACAACTGTAGATGCGATCTTTGAAGAATTGACCGGGCAATCATTTCCTCTAAACAGGCTCTGTACCTGATGCCTTCGTCCAGCGCTCGTTGTGCCCAGTTCCCTCGTGCTCAGGATAAAGTCCACTTCTACATCAAACTGCGGGAGCTCAGAGATCAACTGAAGGGTGTCCAGAAAAACACTGAGATCGAGGAGGTTGACTACTCTTTTGACCTTAAATTGGCTAAGGGTAAGCATGGCCACGGCTAGTGTGTTTTCTGTTTGACAGAATAACGCTTTTAAAAATGCTTACAGCCACTGAAAGTATACGAGTCTTTGTATTGATGGCTTGTATGGTTTAGTACATCTTGATATTAAAATCCTGCCTTTACTTTGCTTTGTGGATTGAGGTCAGATCATGTTCAGCATTTTATTTATCCTTCCCTTTTTGACATGCGCAGAGGATGCCAAGAGGCTGGCCATAAAGGAGGAGCAGTATGATCCTGGGTATGAAGATGCCTATGGTGGAGCCTATGTAGAGAGAGGAGCTGAAGAGGGCCAGGCTGAAAGCAAGACAAACGGTCACTGTACATTCTCAACTGGTGAAAACACAGGTAACCGTACACCTGAGCATAAGCGAGGCTGCAGCAGACATGGACCTTTTGTATTCAGTACTAGTAGCTCCTAATTTTTAGCCAGCTATTTCTGTATCATTAATATAGCGATATGAAATAGTAAAATGCAGTAAAGATCTCAGATTTTCACTTGCTAAACTCTAATAGAAAGTTAAAAGCACTAGTCCAGTGGAAACTCCTTCAGATATCCACAGATTAGTACAAGAAGTAAATACAGGCGTTTTGTGTGAACTGGGACTAAAACCAACAATTTTGTCATCTTTTTGACAATTATTTTCAATTGTTTGATTAATTGATTTGTGTGCAGATTTTCTGAAAACTGTGAAAAAATGTTTCTCCTAAAATCTAACAACCAAGAGGTGACACAGATAAATTAATAATAGAATAACTTAAATCATCTTCAAAGAAAATGATTGAGTTAGTTGTTGTACAATTGTACAGTAACTTAGATTAAAATTAAAAATCTAAAATTTAGTTTTCAAATTAATTAAAAAAAAACAACAATCGACAGAAGAATTATACAACTGGATGGTCAGGGGAAGGAAGGACTTTCTGTTACCTTAGGGAGCATTTAGTCTTTATTCCATGCTGAAAGAGCTCCTCTGGCCAGGAAATAGATAAGCATAGGGTGGGAGCTGCTGTCCTGGATGAAGAGGAGTTTTGACAACATCCTCCTCTCCACTACTGTATGTGCATGTAGCTTGTCCATCTCCACCCTCAGGACTTTTCTGGCCTTTTTGCTAAGTTTATTGAGTCTCTTGGTCTCATCCATTCCCAGATCTTTGCCCCAGCAGACCACAGCATATGGCACTGGACACCACAGACTCATAAAACATGACTTCTTTTATCAAATAAACAATTAAAAACCTTTTCAGTTTTCTTTAATATATGTGGAAAAAAGCATCATGTTGTCACATTTGAGAAGCTAGAACCAGTAAATGTATTTCAATGACTAAATTTATTTAGCCCACTTCTTTAATATTTAATCAAATATCAAAGTAGTTCCTGTTTGTTTTTCTGTCGATTGACAAGCTCTACTTAAGGATTGGAAGTAAAGTTGACTGCAATTACAAACACCACTTGTATAAATTCAAATTGCTGTTAAATAAATTTTAGGTTTTTAAAATCGGTGCCAAGGCCCTGCTCATCAATTGAGATATTTGCATTTGTACATTGGCTAGAAAAGTTGTCCCGTTTGTTACTCACCTGTGTTTGGAGCATTGTGTTTATTTATTTGACAAATAAAAATGGTCATCTGTCCAACTAAAAGTAGAGTATTGTGAGCAGTAAGCTGAGTCGTTGCCTGGAACCTGCACACCCATCAAAAACTCATCACATCACTAAATCAATAGCAGCGCTTATGTTCATTTGCTCTCCGTCTACAGAAGCAGCACAGGAGGCGACCACTTCACAGACATCAGAAGGACAGCTACCAGACGGACAGTGGATGACCCAGTCGTTTGCAGATCAGATTCCAGACATAAGCGGTGGACCAAAAGACAGCAGCATATGAGGAAAAGGGCTCGAGTGTCTCTGTGTTGACATGTACAGACTTCAGCCAACTCAGTACTTTACCTCTTTTTGTCAGGTTTTAGATTTTTCTTTTGTTACTAGTGTCTGAGCGGAATATAAACACATAGATGGACCTTTTAGAAATTTTGCAGAATATTCTTTCTGCATGTTTTATTTTGTTTGTGGTCTTGTAAACATGTATGGTCATCTTCACGGCAGTCTTTTTAAATATGTGAAATCAGGGATCTGACAATGTTGCTTGACTGTCTTTGGAGAAGGTCATGTATTTAACCATTTGTTTTGCCTTTGTACTGTACTGTACTGTACTGCACTGTGACGCAGTAAGTGTAAACTTTTACAGCTACTGTAGTGACAGTAGACAAACCTTCAGATGTTATTTTATAGGCTTGACTGGTCAGTGCAAGCTGTACGATCCTCTGTTTACAGGGAGGACTGAGCTAGCATTAACATTGTACTTCCATGGTGCTATGAACTAACACGATGCAAAGTGATCACTTGATGAAACCAGACTCATCATGAATGTCAGAGCTCTGGCAGTATGAACCTCTGACAAGCCTTTCATTGCAATTACAGAACTCAAAAGGAGTTTATTTTAATCTTTATCACTTTTTTGCTCTAGGGATTTTAGAATTCTGCTCTGTGTTAATGAAAATGTCATTCACAAGGATTTTTATGAAACATTTGTCAATTAAAATGTCCTGATGATGCTTTTTCTAAATTATTGGTTTACCTTTATTTGTATACAGCGTGAGGCTGACGGTTTTATTTTTACTTATACAACATGAGAATTTAAAAAAAAAAAAAAAAAAAAAAGAGTCAAAAGTTGAGCCCAATATGCACTAAAGCTGCCGGAGGTACTGTGTGGTATTTGGACAGTAATGTAATTTATTTTTTTTTTGCCTCTGGACATCACCACGATGGGTTTAACATGAAGAAACTTAATGTGAAACTTAATGTGAAGAAACGAAAGTTCTGCACTGCTCCCCAGCTTCGTCATCAGGCTTTAGAAAATCTAGCCCATGATGGGAGACTTCAGCAAATCACAGGGCTTTAAGTTTTTAGTTACCCTCTCTCTTAGTTTTCAAGTAGCCTCGTTGACTCCACATGAGTCAGATAAATCCATACAATCCTTTCTCTTCAGAGCAAACACAGAGATTGGTCACAGGATCATAAATAACGATCCTCTGAACCAATGCTGGTAAATGCAACATATAAAGCTATTTATTTGCAACTCTAAACAGTCTTTTTTCTGCCTGACTTGTGGTTGCTCATCCATCTGTGTTTAACGCCACTTTGCCACACGCAGGTGCAGGTGAAACTGTATGGGTTGAGATAAGGGAGAGAAGGTTGTCCAGGTTGTCCCAGTATAGTTTTCAATTAGAATTGGGGATGATTGTTGACTTTAAAGTCTGGTGCCTGAGGTCTGAGTCAGAGAAGCTGCTGCTGCAGTGCTGCTCTGGAGATGGCCTGGAGAGTGCAAAATAAAAAAGACCATCATATAAATCAGAGGGTTTGCAATGAGGTTATCTATTTATACTAGCAAACGACATTGTTCATATAAAGATTAATAATTCCAATTCTGGTCACAATTATTGGCACACTCATCATATAGACTGTCCCCTGAAAAATCTAATCTAGTTAAACAACTCTTCTATAAATATGGAAATTAGGAGAAAATAGAAATTTAAAGGATTGCAATGACACTGGTGTTGATACCTTTTAAATTAGATTGGAAAGAACAATTACTTCCGATTCACCTGAGATACAATATACAGCACAAGTGAGTACGCCCCTGTGCACTATCACTAAAAAGCAAAATGATTTGAAACCGTCATCCTACAGTAACTGCAGTACTTCTAAACTGAACAGCAGGTGTTTGTGCTTGTTAAATGAAATAATCAAATGAAACACTCACAGAAACATGATCTGTCCTAAATCACATAAACATGTCCAAATTTGTTAACTTTTGACATGTTTATGTGATTTAGGACAGATTTTAAGTAGTTTCAGAAAAATTTAAGTCATTTGGAAATATTCTGAGTAACAACCTACATGGATAAAAGTCTCCATCCACTTGTAAGGATCATGTTTATCATCCAGTCTTTAGTTTCCAGTGACTCCTAGAACTCTGAATGTTTTTATTGGACCATTGAAACATGAATCTTTGTCACACACACACAAAAAAAGTCTTCTTGTATTCTTTTATAGACTCCAAGCCTGATTTTTCAGTTCCCATGTAACTTCTTTGGAACCATGATGCAGACATGCAGATAGACACAGCCCAATGATCTAAAATTGAAATAGTTCTGGTGTTTGCAGGCTATTTTGTAACCATGTTCATGAAATTAGACCAGCTGAAAGTCACAGGTCTACTCAGTTTTGTGTCACTGCCCACTGGTGTATTGTTGAACTGAGTTTATACTTTTGAGCCTCCATTTTAGATTTAGTCTTTTTAATGTATTTGACAGTTTATAGAGGAAATACTCTACTTGTCAACTTAGAAATAATGCAGTTGTAAACAGTAATATTGCACACATCCATAGGAATACAAGACTGGCAGAAAAGAAAAAAATGGACTGTTTTAAACCTGATCTCAGTTATATTGTAAGTCTTTGGAGACAACTGAAATCGGATTGCAAAGACGTCCAGTTCATTATCTCTCCATTGAAATCACTGTGTAATAACTGTTCATTAATTTCTTTGGACATTCCTTTACAATACTTTGATAATAAAAATCTGCTACATATCCAATTATTCTCTATTTATTATTGTTTGAAGATATTGCACGGGTTAAACAACAAAATATTAAGGGTGCCAATAATGGTGACCAAAAGTGTAGCAAACCAATGACTGAGATAAAAAAAACTATTTATTTAATAAACTCCAAGTTACACACACCTGTTGAGGTTGTCACCTCTGATGCTCGGCCTGCAGAGTTCTGCAGACGACGCTAACAGTTTGCAAACCAGTGCACTGCCTGATAATATCATGCTGTTGCAGTTTTAAACACAGAACACAACAAGTTGTTAGTCCAAGTTCATTTCCCAGCACAGTACGCATATGAATATGAAGTGACTGTTATTCTCTTGCATCATTCCTTTCCTTTCTAGTTATACAAGCGATTTCTCTTTACGTTTTGGTGAAGAGGAGGATCAGCTCGATGGGCAGGATGAGGAGGGTCAGCAGATACACAAACAGTTTTACAAGAAGAAAGTCTGTCAGCTGGAACCGCCAACTGCTACCGTCATAACTGTCTCTGCATGCGTCACACAGCACTGACACACACACACACACATACACACACACACACACACACACACACAATGTAGAGATTACAACAGCCTTATTATCTGTGTCACATCACCTGCCGTTCATGTAGTGTTTGGCATAATTCATCGTTGTTAAATTACATCCTGCTCTAGTACACTTAGTACTCTATAAAAAACAGAATATAAAAAAGTTTTTTAAAAAAAAAAGAAAAAAGAAAGAAAGAAAGAAAAAGGCTAAAATAAATAAATCTATTAAGCTGTAAGCGAAACAATAAATGATCTCAAAATGACTTTATATTCTGTTATTTTAGTGTGAGATGAGTTTTTTGGAGTAGATTTAACGGTAGCCCCTGAATGTAGCACATTGTGTACTTATTGTGGTTACTGTTGATTTTGATTGTATGTCCACAGGTCAGAGCTTCGTGGAAACTGTACAGCTGAAGGACATTCAGAGATAGTGGAAGACCACTTTGAAATCAATAAACCAGAACTGGGTGGGTTACTGGGTTTTTTTGTTGCTTGCTGTGCTTAAGTTGAACCAAAACTTGTTTTCTTTTCTCCTGTGCTTACATCTAGAGCTTTTTAATACAGCCAAATTCCCTATAAAGTTTTTCCGACTTATATATGTTTCTGTATCTGTAGTCAGACATAGAAGACTTTTATTTATATCTAACTTAAAACAAACATTTCTAGTGATTCCAGGACTTTGTGATGTTTGAGGCACCGAACAGGGTGTTCATCATTCCTCTTTCTTTTTTTGAGTCCTGTCTCTGGGTGTTTGAACAAATGCTTTTGCAAGAACAAAGTTGCTTTCAATAAAATAATATCTAACATTGGACCCTTTCTTTAACTTGTAAGCCTCTGCCGGCCTGATAATGGGCAGCTCTACTTACCTCTCTTAATCTCCACAGGGAGGTCCTCTATCACTCTATGGTCCAGCCACCTGTGATCTTCCCGATGAGGGTTTTGTCCATTCAACAGCATCTTCCTCCTTTTCCATTGTTCTGTTTGAACCACTTCCTTCATCAGCTCACAACAAAGAGATTTGGCTCTGCCTACTTTCACTGCTCTACTGCGGGGAGTACACTGTGCTTGAAGAAGATCTAAAACAGACAGTTGTTTGACATGTTTTGGTTGTTACACTTTGGTGTAATCATGAAGATTAAAGACGTAGCATTGAGGAGGATGAAGGTGGAGCAGCTCACCTCTTTCTCTCAGGAAACAAAGAGCATCCCTGTAGCCATTGTGACAGATTTCAGCCAGCTTCTATCCAAAACAAACAAACAGAAAACTGAAGAATAGTGGAAATTTTTAATGTTGAATATTTAAACTTCACTGCTTTTAAAGTCCAAGAAATCTGAACCCACCTCAAATGTGGGAGGAAGGAAGGACGTGCAGACACGATGCACATTGCCAGTGTTGACCTGAATGCTAACGTTGCCATAGTGGACCTCAAAGAAGTTGAATGTACCCTCTCTGGGGCAGATGTCATTCTCGCCTGAGAATGGGGCCATAGTGATGGTGTTTGGCTGCTCGAACAGAGGCATATTGTTGCTCAGGGCTCCATCCATGTAGCTCTGAGAGGAGAAAGAAAGGAATGAACAGGTGACAGGTATGTGGCATAAAGATCAGGAAAAAGCAAATTCAGCACCCTATACTAAAACATGTACTGTCTTTATGTAACAGGCATCAGTAGTATTTATACAATGAAACTGGATTAAAACTCACAGAAGTCCATATGTCTACTGAGGGTTTAGTGCATTCATTAACTTTTCAGTATGCTTTCTCCTCAATCTGTGTATTCTACTCTAGGTACTGATTGCCTATATTTTCCAGAATACCTTCTGCAGGTCTTCAAGAGGGAGACAGTTTTCAGAGGTGGGAACAAGCTTAGGTTGTAACCCTAAATTCAAATATCTTGTCTTTTGGCCTCCTGGTACATTGAAGCATATAATATTAGAGAAATAGACAGTTCTGCTCCTCTATAGTTTGTTGTATTTGTCTCTTTAGGACTGTTTGATGACAACTCGATTAAGAATTCCCAGACCAGGAAATTTTTTTTTAATTAACACTATGTTTGAAGCCAGATAAATATCCATGACCTCAAATAACATGTACAGTGCATCCAGAAAGTATTCACAACGCTTCACTTTTTGTTATGTTACAGCCTTATTCTAAAATGGATTAGATTCATTTTTTTCTCTCAAAATTTTACACAAAATACACCATTATGACAACTTGAAAAAAGTTTTTCTGAGATTTTTGCAAATGTATTAAAAAATTTTTAAAAAACTAAGAAATCATAAGTATTCACAGCCTTTGTCCAATATTGTGTTGATGCACCTTTGGCAGCAATTACAGCCTCAAGTCTTTTTGAATATGATGCCACAAGCTTGGCACACCTATCTTTGGGCAGTTTTGCCCATTCCTCTTTGCAGAACCTCTCAAGCTCCACCAGGTTGAATGGGAAGCGTTGGTGCACAGCCATCTTCAGATCTCTCCAGAGATGTTCAATCGGATTCAGGTCTGGACTCTGGCTGAGCCACTCAAGGACATTCACAGAGTTGTCCTGAAGCCACTCTTTTGAGATCTTGGATGTGTGCTTAGGATCGTTGTCTTGTTGAAAGATGAACCGTTGCCCCAGTCTGAGGTAAGAGCGCTCTGGAACAGGTTTTCATCCAGGATGTCTTTGTACATTGCTTCATTCATCTTTCCCTCAATCCTGACTAGTCTCCCAGTTCCTGCTGCTGAAAAACAGTCCCACAACATGATGCTGCCACCACCATGCTTCACTGTAGGAATGGTATTGGCCTGGTGATTGGTGGTGCCTGGTTTCCTCCAAACATGACACTTGGCATTCAGGCTGAAGAGTTCAATCTTTGTCTCATCAGACCAGAGAATTTTGTTTCTCATGGTCTGAGAGTCCTTCAGGTGTATTTTGGCAAACTTTAGGCAGGCTGCCATGTGCCTTTTACGAAGGAGTGGCTTCCGTCTGGCCACTCTACCATAGAGGCCTGATTGATGAATTGCTGCAGAGATGGTTGTCCTTCTGGAAGGTTCTCCTCTCTCCAGAGAGGAATGCTGGAGCTCTGACGGAGTAACCATCGGGTTCTTGGTCACCTGTCTGACTAAGGCCCCTCTCCCTGATCGCTCAGTTTAGACAGCCGGCCAGCTCTAGGAAGAGTCCTGGTGGTTCCAAACTTCTTCCATTTACGGATGATGGAGGCTACTGTGCTCAGTGGGACCTTCAAAGCAGCAAAATTTTTCTGCATCCTTCCACAGATTTGTACCTCAAGACAATCCTGTCTCTGAGGTCTACAGACAGTTCTTTCGACTTCATGCTTGTTTTGTGCTCTGACATGCACTGTCAACTGTGGGACCTTATATGGACAGGTGTGCCTTTCCAAATCATGTCCAATCAACTGAATTTATCACAGGTGGACTCCAGTTAGGCTGTAGAAACATCTCAAGGATGATCAGTGGCAACAGGATGCACCTGAGCTCAATGTTGAGCTTCATGGCAAAGGCTGTGAATACTTATGTACATATGATTTCTTAATTTTTTATTTTTAATACATTTGCAAAAATTAAAAAAAAAAAAAAAAACTTTTTGAAGTTGTCATTATGGTGTATTTTGTGTAGAATTTTATGGGAAAAAATTAATTTAATCCATTTTAGAATAAGACTGTAACATAACAAAATGTGGTAAAAGTGAAGCGCTGTGAATACTTTCCGGATGCACTGTACCTACATGTCTTCACTCCAATAAAACCCCCAGCAAGTTTGCAGTATAAAAAAATAACTTTACTCACCACTCCACGGTATGAAGGTGGGATGAAACCACAGTAAACTGGAAAAAAACAGCTACACATGAGAACCTGCAAAGTTACGCAAAGCAGGTTAAAACATAAGTACTGAGAAATCAGGTCCTCAGCTTCTGGTATTTTATTGAATGTAAGAGGTGTTCTACCTGAATTAGCTCCTCTCTGCTGGCAAACTCTGACACCAGAACGTTCTTCCCATCAGACAGCCGGGTGAGGGACACACAGAGCTTTCCAGAGGCCCGAAGGTGGGCGTCTTCTGGAAGCTTCTCCAGCAGGGAGTCACGAACTGTCTGCAGCAGGCTAAACGTTGGGTGGAAAACTCCCAGGGTGTGTTTTCTGGCCTCCTTCGCCGTGGTTAAAATGTTGACACAAAGCTGATCTGAGGGGCACAATGCAATGAAACCTGTCTTTAGGGAAAGTGATAAATTACAGCAACATTTACTGTGCAGAATAAGTGAATTAGTCATAGATTTAATTTGAATCAAATTTAACGATATTCTTATCTCGTCTATGTATTGTTTGTCCTTTCCTCAACATAGCCCTCCTGTTGGAGCTGCTTCATGCTTTCTTCACATAGACAAAATATATCCTTCCATCCACTATGCACCGCCTAATCCTCAGGGGCTGGAGTCTATCCTAGCTGACTTAGGGCGAAGGCAGAGGACACCTGGACAGGTTGCCAGTATATCGCAGGGCTACATTTAGAGACAGACAACCAAGCACACTCACATTCGCACCTACAGACAATTTAGAATCACCAATTAAACTCAACATGTTCTTGGACTGTGGGAGGAAGCCGGAAAACCCAGAGAGAACCCACGCTGCAAGGGGGGAACATGCAAACTCCACGCAGAAAGACCCCAGCCATTTCTGTTGTCTTGTCTTTCTACTTGAACTTTGGAATTTGCTCTAATTATTGCGTGAACTCTGTGTGAGTCAGTGAACCCTCCAACTGCAATGTTTACTACAAGTTTCATTTACAGCACTTGTTTTGAGATAACATATCCCTGACATTTATACGTGGCCAGGCACATCAACTGCTCAGAAAACCTAAAAGGAAACATGTCAGACATACATAGTGTACACTACATCAAACAGAATCTATCATATTGTTATCATTATAAAGTTTGATTTACCTATTACCCCCGTGCAGCATGAGTTCTCTCCAGGTTCTCCAGCTTCCTCCCACACAGTCCAAAAACATGTTGAGGTTAATTGGTGATTCTAAATTGTTCGTAGGTGTGAATTAGAGTGTGCTTGCTTGTCTGTCTTTAAGTGGCGACCTGTCCAGGGTGTCCCCTGCCTTTGTCCCCGCGACCCTAGTGAGGATTAAGCGGTGAATAGATAATGCATAGATTTACCTATTACCATCATAATATAACCGTTGCCATTTGATTTATTTCCAAAAATTGTAAAACAAATATTTGATTAACAAAACTTGTGTCTTTATTTGCAAGGTTAAGGGTCAGACTTTTGCAATAATTGGTAAGAGAGCAAAATACCACTTTCATTGCACAGAAGACTAAAATTATGGAAATCCTCCATCAGATGATCCTCATGTCAGAGAAACAAATGCTAATCTAAATAAAGTAATCTTGTAAAGTAGAGATATTCATCAACTGTAGTCCTTGAGGATTTAAGAAGACTCTGCAATGTACAGTAGATGTGACTCACCAATCGGAATCCCAACAGTCACAGCTGCAGCCACGAGACAACCAGATGATGCTCCACAGATTTTAGAGGCACCATCAACCAGCTGTGGGGCACGCTCGAGAATACAGCTCAAAGCTCCCACATAATAAATACTCCTGAATCCACAGCCTGCAAAAGAGATGTTCCACTCTTCGACCCAATTGAACATTTTCCCTGATGTTTCCACTGACTATAAGATTGGTGAGAACTCAGAACAACATCTCTAATTGCCCCCCCTTTTCCATCATCTCTTAGAGTTCAGCTGGTGCATTTGTATTCCCTTCAGTGCTGAATTAACCTGACTTATCCTCGCTACATTCAGAGGCAAAATGGGCAGGGCTTTAGTTGGCCATGTTATGACATTGCGCAAGCTACTCGGCTCAAATGTCACATGTTTACAACAGAAAGCAAGCTAGGTTCACTACAGTAACTGCAGTTAGGTCAACTGCACTACATGTGACACAATTTTCATAACTTACTTAACCAGCTCCATGCTGTGAGCAGCAGCAGAGGAGGGACAGGACTAGAGGGACCCGAGGAAAACAACATGAGCATTAGTGATGTGTTCTTAGGTGATTATGAAAGAGAGCACTTGATAACAAATAGATAATAGTTCATAACAGATTCCATTACAGCATTACAGAAAATGATATATTACACACACACACACACACGTGCGCGCGCGCGCACACACACACACACACACACATACACACACACACACACAAATATTCATCCGCTAATGGAGAAAGTCTGTCTCTTTACCAGCTAAATGTTATTAACCAAATAAAATACACAAAAAAAGTTAAGTTTAATGCTTCCACTGCACTACATTACTACGTACAAAGGGAACTACTATACTTTTTATTCCACTACATTTATTTGAAAGCTTTAGATACTTGTAAAATTAATATTTTACACATGTATAGCCTTATAAAAGACGTTTTTCACAAAATTTGAGTTTGCAACCTTGAATACCATTTCAAATGGATTTGTCTGACCTGTAGCTGCAAGACCTATTGTTGGTGTGGTAAATTCCTCAATGATGTGTGATCACACTGACTTCACAGGCTTGTGCTATGATGAGAGAATATTGGGGCAGTGAAATATGTTGAGATTAAAGTCAGAGTTGTCAGTGTCTCAAAGGTGGCTCTCTTTTAACCTGCTAGATCACTGTGGTAACTGACAGTGCACAGTTAACCTGCTTCAGAACAGAGTTTGGGATTCATGTTGGCTGTAACAAGCGCTACCATTTCCTTTCTTGATGATGTTCTCTTTGAGTCATACAGAAGGGAGGAAACATGCTAAATAATCTCACTGAACAAGGTTCCAGCAGTGCAAATTGCACATGTGGTGTGAAATGAGAATCCATATTCATACATTTATTTTATTGTTTGGCCCTGATTTGCTGCAGAGTCCATTTTACACTGTTGGCATTACAGCTAATAAAACGCAGATTAGAAAATTGATTAGTCTATTGATATTTATCACAGAGAATATTCAGTCAGTACAAATACATTTCACTTTGATTTGCCCAAAAACTAAAGTGATTTCCACGTATCTTTCATTGTGGGACAGTATCAGAAGTAAATGCACTTGTTTAGTATAATTTAAGTTTAAATGTATGAAGTTTAGAGTTTAAGAACTCCAGGCAGCGTGGAGCTGCATTTGTAAATGAGATACTTTGTGAGCTAAATTATGTGTGAGCTAACTAATCCCAGCTAAAGCAAAAGTGACAGATTTCACATCATAAGTGTGTTTCAGATGGATATTAATAAGAACGTCACAGCCATCATCTATACACTGCTTAATCCTCACTAGGGTCGCAGGGGGGCTGGAGCCTATCCCAGCTGACTCAGGGTGAAGGCAGGGGACACCCTGGACAGGTCACCAGTCTATCACAGGGCTACACTTAGAGACAGACAACCAAGCACACTCACATTCACACCTACGGACAATTTAGAATCGCCAATTAACCTCAACATATTTTTGGACTGTGGGAGGAATCCAGAGAGAACACGGGAAGAACATGCAAACTGTACGTAGTAAGATCCTGGTGCCCCCACCGGGACGCAAACCGGCGACCTTCTTGCTGCGAAGCAACATTGCTACCAACTGTGTCACCTTGCAGCCCTCACAGCCATCAGTGCCACTCAAACAGTGTTTAGGGAGCCAGAGGTCACTCGAGGTGGATTACACAACTGTGCTAAGAAGTAAACAACTTAAAGATCAAATGACACTTCAAATTTAGACTTCCTGAAATAAATCTACTGTTTCTAAGCTGACTTCAGACATCAGAAAGTAACCTTGCATCCACCGAGGATGACTGACAGCCTGAAATCAGTCCCTACATGAGTCCTATAGGAACAGCGAATGATCACCACCTACTGTTTGGCAGGTGTCTTCATTCAGTGCAGCCCAGACCATGCAGGGTGAAGCCTCTATTCCAAACCAGCAAAGGTCTGCTGTCAGAGCCTGCAGAATTCTTGAGGCTAAAGGCATCTCAGAAGTAAGTCAAGAAACACTTGACAAACAATTCAACACCTTGTCTCTTTGGGGACTCGAGCCATCGGTTGGAAATTACCTATCTGTATATCAACTCAGTGCCAATAAAAATACAGCATTTCCTTTCTCTACAAATTTTACAGATGCAACTGTTGTAAACATATCCTGTGGCTGAGTAATAACTCCACACATCTTGTCTGCTGAAGGACTGACAGTGTTGAGTTATTTTATGTTTCATTGCACATATGTAGATAGCCATTGTGTTTTCTTTATTTTCTCAAAACAGCTCAAGTAGATTTTCCAAAGGGTGAATTTTTAGGGTGGCAGAGGTTTATCAGCAGGGTTCTTAGGCCACAGAACACACAGCAACTGATGGTTGCACTGCAGGAAGCATCAGACGCTTTGTACAGTTCATGCACAGAACCAGTGCCCTGTACCAGTGACAGCTCTGTTTCAACTTGCACTTGTTATTCAGCTCTGGGACGGTAATTTGGTTAAAAAAAAAAAAATAAAAAAAAAAGTTGTGTAATAGTGTTACATACCTCAAACATCACACTAGTGATTCTCTCAGACATTTGGAAACCTTCTCATATGGTGTAACACTGGAAAAGGCATTCAGAGTAGTTTCTTGCTTTTTACATTCAGATCTGGCTTCATACTGTCATACCAAGCTTTGTGGTGCTGATTTAAATGGTCATACAAATTAGGTTTTGCATCATGTAGTAGAAAGAAGTTCAAGACGCGAAGTGTCTGTTATTGGTGGACATCATCCTTTCTGTAATAGAAATATTTTAATGCAACTGATTTCTTTTTGCATCCAAATCTTCCTTTTCAGTGTTTCTCTCTTGTTCCTCACTCATTTTGCTGTACACATGTGCAGACACTCAAATGCTCTGTGTACCCAAAAACCACCAAATCTGTGTAAAAGTGACATACCCTCTGCATACCACTTGTCATTAATGAAAAGTTCCTTTATTCTGATGTTTCCACTTAATTTGTGTTATAGTTCATGTTAATCACACCAGTTAAATGTTAACATTATAATGATGATGTATTCATGGAGATCATGTACAAGTTGCTGCTTTGCAAGCTTCTGTTCACACAATGACAGGGACTCTGATGGTCTTTTTACTTTGCAGCATAGTCCTGCTGTCATGTTGGTTGGTAGGTGGTGCTCGCCAGGCCCAGATAAGCTCTGCACACCCTCTCAAAGGTTAAACAAATGCTAAACTTAAAGATTAAATGATAAATTACAGATATAGAAAGAGATTTATGCTGCCAGAAACTGAATCTACATGAATTCAAAAGTGCACAGTGTTAATGAACAGGGACTTGTCCATTTCATGTCGTTCAGTTTCCAGTCCTTCAAAATGTTTTTGACATATTTCCATCTTAATGGTACTGTGTAGTTTGAACCACACAGTTCTTTCCCTCTGTAACTGATGGTAACTGATGTTTCTCAGCTTCCCTGCTTCAGAGTTTGGGATTTATATTGGCTGTAAAAAGCAGCACCATTTCTTCTCTTGTTGATATTCTCAGCTGAGAGTGATCCAGATTGTCAACTGAGGGATGTGTTACATCTGCACACTTGAGAAGTTGTGCCTTAGTAAGTAGTAGGGCAAACTGCATGCCTTTTTCTTTACTCATGTAGACAAATACTAAACACACCAAAACTTTGTAATAACACATTAGATTTCCAAAAGAGCAAGCAAAGCAAACTACATTTTGAATTCTTTGAGTAAAACTTTCATATCTAATTTTGCCAGCAGAGGTCGCTTTAGCTCTAATGTCTCTGGAAAGCTCCTGGCATGAGCTTGTAGCCTGCCACCAATAGAGCTACAGGGCTGCTGGTAAAGCAAACAGGTAATAAAAATGTTAACATGTTTATGTAAGACGATAGAGACATGAACAACAAACAGCTGCTGCCTTTTAGCATCATTGTCAGCTGAGGACAGTCATCACCTATCCTTATGCTCTGTATAATAGCATTTTATATAATTTTATATAATCACATCATTTAAAAAATGACATTCTTTGAAAGTATAAATGCATTTTATTCATGTTTTTCCACTTCAAAATAACTGAGTAAGAACTGCTAGATGAACAGTCAAAACCCACCAAGGCTCAGTGACTGTGAAAAAAACATCAAGTTTGCAAAAACATTCTACTCAGGTTAAAATGGATTTACTTAAATCCAGTAAAGGACGCTGACTCATCTGTTTTCTTGAGGTTTGAAGTTTGTTCAGATGCAATATTTCGGAGCCACCCCACAGCTCTGCCCAAAGCCCAGCCTCCGCCTGCGCTCGGTGGTGACTTCACAGTGGCTTCATCAAACTTGGAGTTGGTGCTGGTGGGGGGTGTAGGAGGGGGAGTCAAATCCAACGTGCTGCATGTTTTCCAGGTTAAGATATTGCTGGAGGTAGGAGTGGCATCTGGACTCACTGGGGAACAATTTATGTCTTCTTTGCGTTCATTCCACAGGTTCAGACCTGATGGCAGGCTTTTAGACCTGCGCAGCGGTGACTCACTGGAAAAGGCACAGTTTTCAATAATAATGATTATATTTAAGTCATGCTACTGTTTGGCTTTAAGGAAAGCAATGTCAGTATGTGTTTCAGATACTTTGGTCCAGGGTGAAATGTCTTGACAACTAGTGGATGGATTGTCACAATGTCTTGTGCTGATTGACATAGTACCAAAGGAAAACAGAAATACTCAATCGTAGACTTTTCATTTATAACAGATAAAACCTTCCTCTTGTCTCACTTTTCAGTTGACAACAGGAAATGTGTAAAACTAATGATTACATTTGTCTCTTATCTGTACTTTGAGATAACATATCATGTCTGAGATCATGGTTCAGCCTGCTTATTTCTAGAGAGGTGGAGAGAGGACATGCTCTCTGCACTCTCTGCACTACACACCTGTCACTCTTGCCCATGTTGTCCTTCAGTGCTTGCTTGTTTCCGTCTCCAACCCTGCCATAGAACCAGCTCAAGTCCTTCGGTACATCTGGAATCCAGCCCACTAGTCTGGAAGCAGCAATCAAAGTCTTGGAAAATCAAATGAGTGCATAATGGCAGTGGTAGAAAAAGGACTCAGATATTTTTTAGAGATAAAATCTGTATTATTTTAAAGGAGAAATTGTTTATTTATCTTATTTCCATAAGATGTAACAAATTTAACATTTTGACATGAATGAAAGTTTTAACAATAACAATACACTGCAATCAAAAATAACTTTTTTTCCCCCGATTTTATTAATAGTACAAAAAGTCCTGTTGCATGCTTGGTCAGTATGGTATTTGACTAACCCATAAAATTCATTTACCCTCCATTTTAGACATTAAAATCACAAAGATGTCATTTGACTTGATGATCACTGGGAAGTGAGAGGCTCCACACAAGCAGAACATTTTGGATGTGGTGACGTAATGAATACAGACCTCTGGGCTAGAGAACGGGCTGACTCAACAGGCAGAGTTCGAGGATTCTGGAGGTAAGAAGTCACTTTCTTTGGTAGGTACCCGGTCATGTGGGACAACAGACCAGCAGCAGGATGTGTCTCTCTACAGGCCTCACACAGCACTGACACAGACACAGTGAGAAATATTTTATTTAGTTTTACTGCATTCAATTTATAGTACCAGCTCACAGGTCTGTTATTGTTTCTTTTGTATGAATTGTAGTCCTACTCTGTCTTTTTCTTTAGCCAAACAGACTAGTTCCCTGCTGACTACAACCATAATATTGTAATATTTTACCCTTCTGAATGCTAATCGGGAGGTTTTCTATGAGCTTTGGATCCAACCACTGGTGATCTTCTTGAGAAGGTTTCGCTCCGCTCTGCTGCGTGTCCTTATCAGACTCTTCAGCATTAGCTGGCTCCTTCTCCAGCGCACAACAAGCAGGTTTGGATGCTTGTGTCTCCAAACTTCTCAGGGGGCAATCTCTGTTGATCAGATCTGTGATTGGTCAATAAAATTGAAATGATAAGAAACCAGGAGAACTGGATTACTTAGAACATGACAGTAACCACTATGTTTTCTGCAGTTTCTCTGACATGATCTCCAGTCTGTAAGTTACTTTTGCTGGATGAACTGAATACACTTCTTCTCCACTTTGTGTTTATATAAATGTTTCACAGACAGACAATGTTCTTACTGTTATCTTTCAGGAAGTGAAGAGCATCCATGTATCCGTTGTGGCAGATTTCAGCCATTGCCTGAAAAATCCAAGAGCGCTTACTGAGAATGCAAGCTACGTCCACTCGATCTATGCAATATTACAGGTCCAGGTTACTGTAGATCAGCAACACAGTAAATGCTTTTATCAGGTTTAAAAAAATAACTATTTTTCATAAGGACAACAATGAATAATGATGAGTCACGCTGTGGTTCAAATAGAACTGCAACAACACATTTTAGAAACATGTTTTCATCTGAAAAAGAGAAGAAAACAAACTTAAGTAGCCCAAAGGTGGTTATTTGCCAGTTTTGCCAATCATCAAAAAAAAAAAAAAAAGCATGTCAGTGTCATAGCAACTCTCAGTTTCATAAGCTGGTATGATTGAAGAGGGGTATTCATTTCTCCTGTACAACTTTAAGTTCTCTGATTCAGCTCTCACAAACATCTACTGGACCGTCACCTCCTTGTCAAGGTTTAGAGATGTTTCACATAAAACACACAGTTGCACCACACAAATATACTAACTAGAGACAAGTTTATTTCTATAGCACATTTTGTATGACATGCACAGACTCAATATCTTTTCAAATAAAAGCTGGAGCGAGAGAGAGGGAGAAAAAAGATCATATGACAAAAAAATATGGAACAAGTTTAGATGGGTGTTACGTGTCCAAGTGACATCCACATGAATGCCAGGACTCAAAGCTTCCCAGCAGAACATTGGATTGTAACTAGAAGATCAGTGTTATTCACTTTACCTGTCTATGGTTTTAATGCTGTGTATGTAGTCAGTTACTCTAAAATGTGCAATATCGGGTCTTCTGAAACTGATCTTGATTGTAAATATTATATTTGTTTATTTCTTCTTCTGCTATAGTCACTTGTATATTGTTTTTATTATGATGTCTATTACATTTATATCTTCAATGCACCTTAATATGACAGCTATCTTAAATTTCATCATGCACCATGTTTGATGACAATAAACTATTCTATTCTATTCTGTTCTATTCTATTCTATTCTATAAAATCTGAACCATGCATGTGCAAGCTGATTATTAAAAAACAATTCAATGACTGGAAAATGGCTCTTTAAAGGAGGACAAATGCATTCACACTTTAGGGAGTGATAGAATTTGTAGTGAAACATGCAAAAACACTGATGTAGTCCCAGTGGTCGTTATGTCAAAGTGTTCAAACTTAATATAAGCGCTTTTCGGTGCTGTGCCCTGCAATCAAACACAGACTGTCTCACCTCCGGCGCTGGTGGAAAGAAGGTGCTGGTCACCCTGTACACATTCTCAGAGTTGACCTGGATGCTGACGTTGTTGAAGCGCACCTCATGGAAGTTCAGTATGCTGCCTCGGGGACAGATGTCACTCTCGCCGGCATACGCAGAGAACGTGGCCGTGTTATTCAGCTGGCAGCGAGGCAGGTTGTCACTGACAGCACCATCCACATAGTGCTGGGGAGGCAGGGAAGGTGTTGATCAGCAGAGAATACATTGGGCCCTTACTCTGTGTACTGTATGCTCTCTGAAATTCAGGTGAATGAGCTCTATTCAAAAGCTTGTACACAATTTCTATGAATTTGCCGGGTATACCAAGTCTTCCAGTTTTCATTTGCACATGTGACATCATATCTTGGTTTCACAAACCTAGATAAATACACATTTTTGAGAAACCTGGATATGCTACCTGGTGTAATTCAAACTGCTGATCATAATAGCTGCTAAATTATGAGTTTGAATGTTGACCAAGAGAGTGAAGCTCACTGTAAAACTTGTGGCTTAACCATTTCCGTGTTGCCGTGTTGGTGTTTGCTGGTTCACTTACCACTCCACGGTAGGTGGGTGGGATAACCCCACAGTACAAAGGGACAAAGCAGCTGCATATAAGGGCCTGGAAAAGACAGATATTGCTGCATCTTAGCTGCAGAAATACAAATTCATCTATGTTGAGAAACGTACAAAAAGATTTTTGTGTTTTGTTTGTCCTCAGCCACAGAAAAGTAGAATAGGGTAGAGTAGGGTGGCTGAGATATTCTTAAGAAATTTCTTTCACAATTTCTTTCCTCTTATGTTTAATCAGATTTCACAATCTTTCACAACAGTTGTTCAAAACAAGGGTAACTCTATCTAATCTGCTCCTATCTTTTGCCTGTTTATAAAGTTGGCAATTATGAATCTGAATTGTCTCTCAAGTTCAAAAGCATTTACTCTAGATAAAAATGTCATCCTGATATCTAAACTGTAAAATATACCTCAATGAGCTCCTCTCTGCTGCTGAACTCTGACACAATTAAATTTTTGCCATCGGGTACTCTGGTCAGGGACACACAGAGTTTACCAGAGGCTCGAACATGGGCGTCATCTGGAAGGTTTGCCAGCAGAGAGTCCTGCACGATTTGCATCAGGTTGTATGCTGGGTTCAGGGGCCCCAGTCTGTACTTCCTCGCCTCTTTGGCCATGAACATCAAATCCGAACAGCATTTGTCTGCACAGAGGAGCACAGTAATTAGATCTTGTATGTGTATGGTGAAAATACTAAAGTACGTTATTACAATGACAGGTCGCATATCTGGTAAAAGCTACGTTAAGGATCAGCGCCATTCCAATTTTTATTTTTTTAAATACTTCAGATGGACTGTAAAATAATATGATGGTGATTTTGTCATCTAAGGACATAAGTGAGATAACCTTTCACCTCATTAAATGAACATAAGTAATCTCTCTTAATTGCTCAGTTGAGTGATGTCAGGGTTTGGTTTTACTGCCAGGAAGTCATCTGCCAGGTAAATTTTAGATATACTTTCCATGGTGTTGATAATGGCACTGGCAATGGAGATTTATCACAGGGCAGTGCACCTCGTTGTGTTAGAGCTATACTGAATTTTGCATTAATAATATAAAGAGTCATGGGTCAATCTACGAAAAATCTGTGAGAGCTCCCCCATCTGACCCCATCAGAATCAGCTGATTTTTGTATGTAATAACTTGAGTATATTTATTAAAACGGGCTGCAGTGGTTAGCACCGTTGCCTCACAGCAAGAAGGTCCCCGGTCTTGATTAGGACACCCGGGATCTTCCTGTGTGGAGTTTGCATGTTCTCCCCGTGCAGCGTGGGTTCTCTCTGTGTTCTCTGGCTTCCTCCCAAAGTCCAAAAACTTGTTGGGGTTAAGTGGTGATTCTAAATTGTCCGTAGGTGTGAATGTGAGTGTGCTTGGTTGTCTTTCTGTGTAGCCCTGTGATAGACTGGGGACCTGTCTAGGGTGTCCCCTGCCTTACTATGAATAATTTCCAAGTTTCAGGCCCTTGAAGTACATCGAGGATGATTGAAATTTTGCACTTTTCAACTCTTGTTTTTGAGCTCTCATAACTTCATACACAAAGAAGACAGACATAAAATTTTCAGCCATAAAAAAATCACATTTGAGTAAAGTAAAAACCAAATCAATTTAACATCCACTTCAGAGGTAAAATTGTCACAATCTAAAGCCAAAATCTTGTTTTGGTTCAGGGTGTTTTTCTATAACCAACTTTGAGCATCAGTAACATGAGATAGAGTTGTGAAAAGTTCATACACTTGTAAAAACCAAGTTTCCAATGACTCCTACAACTCCCATTTTTCTATGACAAAATCACTGAAACACATGCATCTTTGTACAAAAAACAATCCTGCATTTTGTTTTTTGCAGAGATTTATTACAGGTCTTCAAAAAATATGACAAAGTCCGCTGGGTTAAAAATGTACAAACAGCAACTTGAATTATCAGTTTTGGTGATGTAGAAATCTGTGCTAATCTAATTTTCTATGTGACGTAGCCTTTTCATTTGTCGTGTGTGTAGCTGCTGACTCCTTAGTTTCAGCCAATTTAAATTTGGTCTATTTAATACACCCATTAGACTCAAACAGTAGAGTAGGAAGTAAGAAAGCTCAGCAAAGATTAGAAAAAGGAAATCGCTGACTAGTCTGGAAAGTCACTTGGACCCATTTCGGAACATCTTCAGACCCTAAACCTCAATGTTGCAAATAATTGTTTATCAAGAATAAAGTGCATGGTACAGTAGTGTCACTGCCATGATCAGGATGTAAACACAAGTTGTTACCTGCTGCTGAAATATAATTAGTCTGAGAGAGTCAACAAAGAATCACATAAAAGTATAAAAAAATTGAACGAGTGCTATTTTAATATTGGACCTATGATATGATCCACAATATTGATGCTTAAAGCTGGTTTAAAAAAAAAACGTCCTATGCAAAAACTTGATTTTGCCTTTTGATAATGACACCTGCTCAAATGTGTTTTTCAGCCTCTGAAAATCTCCTGTGAAATGTTGCATGGCTTCATTAAATATACTAAATTTATTGCACATTAAAATCAGCTGATTCTGAGGGGTCAGATAGAATTTTTTTCCAGATTAGGTTTTTTGTTTTGTTTTTTAACATTTGCTTATTACCAATGTAACTTTTAAATGGTGCATTTTAACTGGAGCTTTGGCCAGTAGAGAGGAGACTAAACACTCACCTATGGGTATTCCCAAAGTAAGAATAGCAGCCGTCAGAGCACCTGCAGAAGATCCATAGATTTTAGAGGCGCCCAATATGAAGCGGGGGAACCGTTCAAGGATACAGCTGACGGCTCCAACATAATAAATCCCCATGAAGCCGCATCCTGCAAAGGAGATGCTCCAGTCTTTCTTCAAATCAAACATCTTCTGTCGAAATCCAGCATAGAAAACTCACTTTGCCAGATCTCCACTCGGTAAATAAGACAGCTGGCACCTCCACAACACACCTGCGCTCAGCATCCAAAGGTGAGGGGCGTCGCTGCAGCGTCAACCTGCGTCATCCGGAGCTGCTCTCCCATTGGCTGGACAGCGTCAGATGACGGACAGTAACAGACGCTGAAAAACCGCAAGTTCTGAAAAATTTTAAGAAACTCTGCAAATCTGACGGTACAGGTTCGAAGATGAGCATCCCGGTGGTAGACTTCAGCGCCTACAGGCTCAGTGAGAAACATGTTAATGACGAACAGCTGCAGGAGCTGGGCGCAGAGCTGAAAACTGCCTTCACACAGGTCGGGTTTGTTTATCTGAAGAACTCCGGGATCACGCAGGAGGAGGTGAGGCCGCTCAGACGCTGTCAGAAAAAAAGAGGTTGTACTGCTCTCGTGGCATGCAGATCACATTAGACCAGAGTGATCTAATCTGGACTAGGTTACACCGGAGAGTTTAAGAGTTTGCAATTTGTAAAAGTTTTCTTCTTTTTTTGTGAAAATGCAAAAAAAAAAAAAAAAGAGAGAGATTTGACAGTTATTTTTTTGTTTTTGTTTTTTGTTTTGTGTTTTACATTAAACCATGTCCAACTCTAAAAGCACTGTGTTGCCTTCACCTTTCTGTATAAAGTAGTTTTAGATCTAGACCTGGTCTAATGCGATCAACTGACTCTTCAGCCTCTCAGATATAGCCAAGTCCAGATTTGACCCATCTATATAGTAATTTCAGATCTGGACCTGGCTCTTTGTAGTTTGCATGCAATAAAAGCAATAATATTTAAACTTTCAGCCCTGTAACTTAGGTTTCCATTGATTTTTCCCCTTAACTGTGCCAAATTGTAAACTAATTTCACCATTGGGTTTGGATTATAGGTGGACCGTGTCATGGACATATCCAAGAAGTTCTTCCTGCAGCCAGATGAACTGAAACAGCCCTTCTGCAGGAAAAGCTTCTCTATCAATCCAAACCATGGCTGGGTGTCCCTGGAAACTGAGAAGTATAAATCAGAAAATGAACACATCCTCCTTATCTGCACTATTTCACTGGTTTTAAATTTAGATGTTTGCTTTTCAGGTTGAATCCACGAAGACCTGGAGACCTAAAGGAGGCATTCAACGCTGCTTCACTTCATCCAGACATAGTAATGATTCATGGACAAAGTTTGAATTAGAACAACATAACCTACTTAAGGACGTTTTGTTCAGTCACAGAACAAAGTCCAAATTGATCTCCCTTCATTGTTTGTGTTATCAGTTTAGAGGTTAAAGTACAATATATTCAACGGGCTGTTTATCAGTAAAAGCTCCGTACTGAATTATATCAACCAAAATTAAATGATCACCGATATTCAATACAATATATTTTGACTTTTTTATGTGAAGGGAGTATTTATGCGATCACTTATTTTATACTTTAAGCTTTTATTCATTGACATCACTTTGTAGAAATCTGTTTTCACCTTGACATAAAGAGTTTTTGGTAAGTTCTTTTAAAAAAAAAAAAAAAAAAAAAAAACCACACTGCATACTGTAGGTGTCCGTGTTAAAAACAAATGCTGGCAGATATATTGGTGTTTTTTTTTTTACTTTGACATGCTAACATCAGTACTGGCTTTAATCAGACTCTAAAATGATTCCTTTCTGTTGTAGAAATGGCCGTCATCAGGTGCTGTAACTGGTTTCCAGGAGATCCAGATGTCTTTCTTCCAGAGCTGTAAAGAGCTGAGTCTGCGGGTGCTGAGGGTGATGGCCCTCGGTCTGGATATGGACCCGGATGTGTTTCTAAGTGCACACCGTTTAATAGGAAGTACGATCAGCACAATCACTGCTCCCGCTATAACAGACTGCTTATTTTGTTGCTGGCTGCTTATGATGTCGGCAATTATGACTCTGAACTGTCGCTTCAAAAATTTAGTCTTGATCAAAGTTTCAACCTGATACCTTCACTATAAAATATACCTCAATAAGCTCATCTCTGCTGCCGAATGCCGACATGAGTAAGTTTTTCCATCATGCACTCTGGTCAGGGACACAAATGTTGGTGTCTTCTGGAAGCTTCCCCAGCAGAGAGTTCAGTACTGTTTGTTTGTGTGCTGGGTGCAGGGGTCCCAGTCTGTGCTTCCTCTTTGGCCATAAACATCCAATCAGAACAGCATTTGTCTGCACAGAGAAACGCAGTAATTAGATACTGTATGTACACAGGGAAAATACTAAACTGCAATACTAAAATTCAGGTCACATACAGATGCGTGACAAAACATTAAGTGTCTTAGTAAAGAGTTGAGCCACCACAAGCTGCCAAAACAGCTTTAAAGCACTTTTGAACTGATTCTCCAAGTCTCTGAACTTTACTAGAAGGATGAACCCCATTCTTCCATAGGATCTTCCCTCATTTGATGTTTTGATGAAGGTTGGTCCAAAAAAAGACTCCCTTAGCTGCAGAAAACCTCATAGCAGAAAAGCCTTTTTGTGCCAAAATAAATAAATACACAAATCAAATTACAATAATGCTCATGTGTCTGCTGCAGCTGACGAGAACGGCACAACTCTGCGGTCCCTCTACTACCCACCAGTGAACAGCGAGAAAGCAAAGGAAGGTCAGCTGCGATGTGGAGAGCATTCAGACTACGGCAGCATCACTCTGTTGTTCCAGACCTCTGAAGGGCTGCAGGTAACACCTCATATTTCTACCTCTCTGTGAAGCACAGGCCTTAAGTGTTTATTGGGAGTAATTATCAACTCACTCAAGATGTATTTATGTAGTTTTGTGTTTGTCTCTGGCTATCTCTTTAGCTAGAGTTAAATGCATCCGGCCACAAGTGTCATATGCAGTTTTACAGTTTATGGCATTGATCCACCTGCTGCTAACCACTTCAAACCTTTGACACATCTGTTCAATCATCAGTCAGCCATTTGTTCAGTTTAATCATTTAACACATTGTGTGATTTCAAGTAACTTGTGGAACAAATCTTTTCTGCCTTCAGGTCCGTACGCGTTCAGGTGAATTTGTCTCTGCTCCCTGTATCCCCGGAGCCATCCTCATTAACATCGCTGACCTGATGCAGCGCTGGACCAGTGATCAGTTTGTCTCTGTGGTGAGCTAAGACCATTATTTTTGTTTGTTTTTTTTGTGTGTGAGAAGACTATTAACAGTATTGCAACATGAAGGACAAAAATGTATGAGGTTAAACAGTCTCTGCATTTTCTCCTGAGGTCTCTGATTTTGAGGGTTTCAGCCCATGAAGCATCTACAATAGACAAATTGTAATTAAGCAATAATGAAAGGGACTAAGTTTTGATTTCCAAAGAGTCAAAGTGCAGCACCTCTCTCGTGGCCCTTCTCCTGCAGATATTTCCCCATGCTGGTCAGAGAACTTTTACTGTAAAACAGTGGCGGCTGGTGAAAATTTTTGGTGGGGGGACGCAGTCTGCAAATGACCTTTTATTTAAAATCAGGAATTAGAATATGAGTAACATCAGGCACAACCATTTACAGGAATGCAAATTGTCTACCTTTGGAGGATATTCTAATCATAATATAATTTAATATTATAAAGACTTACCAGAAGTAAATTTCAAAACCATTCATCAAACGTTCAGCAATATTTACAGGATCTGTACAAACTCAAAACACACAACATAAATAATGAAAAAGAAAAAAAAAAAAAAAAACACATACAATTCAGACTGACTTTTTCACTGGTAATACCAATACCACCCACTTTCTCATTTTGTTGCACCTCCCACCTGGTCAAAGGTATAACATATGAGTTGCTGAACATTTTTTTATCGATAGATGCTACGATTTACTGATGTTCCCTGAACGCCTCACACAGCAGGCTGCAGCAGATGCTGTTTGGTGGCTGTGGTGTGCTCAGACAGATGTGCGACCAGATATTACTTTAAAAATAATAAACTAGGGCGTCTCATGTCAGATTTGTTGGAGGTTAAACCCAGTTACATGAATTCTACACGCGCTCTTTTCTACGAGCAGTCTTTTCTCCACTGACAGCAGACCGATGCATTAAACCATCACAACAGTAGCTGTGATGGAGTACCAGAGGAGGGGAAAGGCCGTGACGGTGTCAGAAAGCGCAGTCGCAAGAACGTCGAAGGACAGTTTTGATATCCAACCACAGAAGACAAAAGCAAATAAAGACAAAATTTATTGGCTTACAGCAAAAGTGGGAGGGTCCGGGTCGCACCGAGCTGCGTCCCGTGAGAAAGTCTGCAGCTGCCAATCACAGCACAGGCCAAGGTCACGTGATCACGAAAAGTTTTTCGAGCTACATGCACACTCATGTGGCCGGCGCCCAGCATCCAGGAAATGTAAAATTAGTAAACACACAGTAAAGACATGTTAAATCTGTTAATAATACAAATATTGTTCATATATCAAAAGAATATGAACGTTATTATTAATTTTATTATTATTTTGTTATAATTAATTACAACTTAATTGTACGTTTGAGAACTATTTTTTATCTGGACATTAGTAGTGGGAGGAAGGCGCCCCTGCGCCCTGTATTAACCAGCCGCCACTGCTGTAAAATATATTAAACACATTGATATACATAAATACTGGTTACTGAAATTGATATCGACACACAAAAACAAATACCCATGTATTTCTATCATTTGTATATTAATACCTATGCATGATATAATGTATGGGTATAGTATCCCCGGTGAGGGATCAATAAAGTTTATCTTATTTGGTCAGAAAACCAGTCAGTATCTGGTGTGACCTCCATTTGCCTCACACAGTGCAACACAACTCCTTTGCATAGAGTTGATCAGGCTGTTGATTGTGGCCTGTGGAATGTTGGTCCACTCCTCTTCAATGGTTGTGCAAAATTGCCAGATATTGGCAGGAACTGGAACACGCTGTCGTATACACCGATCCAGAGCATCCCAAACATGCTAAATAGGTGACATGTCTGGTGAGTATGCTGACCATGCAAGAGCTGGGATGTTTTCAGCTTCCAGGAATTGTGTACAGATCCTTGCAACATGGGGCTGTGCATTATCATGCTGCAACTTGAGGTGATGATCGTGGATGAATGGCACAACAACAGACCTGAAACCCCACCGCCACTATGGGCCACTCGATTCAAAGTGTTGACATCAGCCTACCGCTCACCCACACAACACCATACACGCTGTCAGCTATCTGCCCTGTACAGTGAAAACTGGGATTCATCCATGAAGAGAACACCTCTCCAAAGGGCCAGATGCCATCAAATGTGAGCATTTACCCACTGAAGTTGGTTACAACAGCGAACTGCAGTCGGGTCAAGACCCCGATGAGTACGTCGAGCATGCAGATGAACTTCCCTGAGACGGTTTTTGACAGTTTGTGCAGAATTTTTTGGATTATTCAAACTGATTGTTGCAGTAGCTGTCCGGGTGGCTGGTCTCAGACGATCTTGGAGGTGAAGACGTGGAGGTTCTGGGTCTGGGTCTGGTGTGGTTACACATGGTCTGCGGTTTGGAAGCCGGTTGGAAATACTGCCAAATTCTCTGGAACGCCTTTGGGAGATGGCTTATGGTAGAGAAATGAACATTCAATTCACGGGCAACCGCTCTGGTGGGAATTCCTGCAGTCAGCATGCCAATTGCACACCCTCAAAACTTGCAGCATCTGTGGCATTGTGCTGTGTGATAAAACTGCACATTTTACAGTGGCTTTTTATTGTTGCCAGTCTAAGGAACACCTGTGCGATAATCATGCTGTCTCGTCAGCATCTTGATATGCCACACCTGTGAGGTGGATGGATTATCTCAGTGAAGGAGAAGTGCTTACGAACACAGATTTAGACACATTTGTTAACAATCTTTGACAGAAATAGGCCTTGTGTGTACATAGAAAAGGTTTTAGATCTTTGAGTTCAGCTCATGAAAAATGGGAGCAAAAACAAAAGTGCTGCGTTTATATTTTTGTTTAGTGTAAATCAAGATTCAGCCGCTGGACTGATTATTTTTTGCCTCAGCATTCTTCAGAATCAGATTTTAGTGCATTGTTAATGTGAAATAAGTGAAAATTAAGGTAGCTATTTCAGACAGTACAATACTGCTCATCCTGCTAAACCTCCACTGGCTCACAGGAGCAGAGGCCCCCAGACAGGCGCCAAAAAAGATGTTCTCCTTGATTTTAGTCTTACTTTAGTCTTCTTGGAGACAAGCATTGTGTGAAGCTCCTGTTAAACTGTGATAACACATTTGTTTCATTGCTGACTTTTGTAGAAACGATTATTTCTGATGTTCAAGCTTGGCCATTCATAAAGTAAATGAGCTCAAGTATTGCCCCAGACGTTTTAGTCCACTTTACACTAATCTGAAATCAGCTGTTAGAGGGTAGTATTTGTGATGCCATGGTTACAAAAATACGATTAAAAACAACTTGATTGTCAATTCATCAAGTAGCGTAAAAACAAAAAAGGTCTGTGGTTTACAGTGTTGTTGTTGTGTTCCTCAGATCCACAGGGTTTTGCTGCCTCCTGTTGGAGACTCCAGCACCCGTCAGTCTCTGGCTTTCTTTGTCCAACCCGATGATGAGGCTCTGATCACCTGCTGCGACGGCTCAAACAAATACCCACCAGTGGCCGCAGGCGCCTACCTCATTGAGCGCCTAAGCCAGTCATATATAGAAAACTGAATGTACATGGAGGAGTTTGCTCATTTACACAATTGTCATTTGTCCATATACCATTGACCTTCAGTGGTATTACTTTTAACTTTTTTATATTTTTTAATGGTGATTTGAATTTGAACATGATTGTGTTTTTAAGATAATCAGTGTGTATGATTAAAAAAAAGAAGAGACAGAAATATTACACTTGCAAGCTCATTCAAATTTATTGTCAACATTCAAACTTTCTACAACATTTTCATGAATTTGTTATACTAGATGTTGGTTGGACAGATTTTACTTCTTTGTTTAAAGGGGTGTAAACAAACTTAGAGTAGCAAGCAGATACAGCAGGGTACAGAGAGGTGGTTGTTTTTCCAACTGTGTTTATATTCTAATTTTATTTCTTATATTAATCTGATATAAAGAGTCTGTTTTTTATGCTGCGCTTCTTTGTGGAGATTAACTCAGGTTTCCTATCTCCAATGACACAGATGAGGCCAAGTCGAAGCTGCTGATGCCTCGTTTACAGTGATGTGGACATTAAATAAAAGTTCTCTAATATTGAAGGTGACACAAATTCACAGACACTTCCAAACACCGACACATACTGTACACAAACAACCACTTTAGAATTTACAGTTATTACTGTAACACAACACAATTATAAAAAATTAAAGATTTAAATATATATATGTATATATCTAACTTCATCTGTTGATTCTGTTCCACAATCACCTAGTCCAAAACACACAACAGCTAGAAAATACAAGTGATACAGAAGGAATGTGCATTTAATGTGAGTATAAAACTTCTTCATATAATCTGGAATAATTTCTTCTAAAGTAAGTTACTCTTCTCACATTCATTTTTTTCAGAAAGAATTGTCTCTGTTTACCACAAAAATAAATACATTTTCAAAGTTTTTCCTGTAAGAGACAGTACCAGTGACAATAAAGTACAGTGTGCACAAAACAAAACATTCAGTTATCAGGCCAGCCGCCTTCCCCATTTCACCCCGAAGAACTCCCCATGGAGAACAGAGTCCTTGTTGTGATAAAAGATCAAATGAGAAAAAACAAAAGGGTTGATTGTCCACGTAGAAAACGGGACCAGATCCACATTTCAAATCTGGCTCATTCAGCCAATTTGGCCAGTAAGAAAAAGAGCATCACTGGCACTAGGACTGATTCAATAGCCTGAAATCACTTTTTTTTATGTGCCTTTGATGTTTAGATCTATCATTGTCAAAAGATGTTTGGAAAATCCTTAACAGTAACATAAAATTTGAATCATTAAAACACAAAAACACATACACACTCACTCATGCAGCACACAGAGTGGTGGGGCCTGCTAAGAGTGTCCTGGCACTGGTACATCCTGCTGCTGGTGAACAGGGGGCAGTGGTTGACTGTTTCCTGGTACAACTGGTGCTGGTTGACCCTCAGTTACAGAAACTCCTGGCTCTGTTGATGAGTTGTGTTATCAGTAAGCAGATGATGGAAGACGTACTGCATCATGGAAACTGCTGTTTCCAACATTTGTGGAGCGTAACTCATCCTTGGGACTATATATCACGTATATGGTTCTTTAACATTACTTTTTTTCTGTTTCTTTTGTTTGTACCCCATCAATTTGAAAGTGCAATATTAAAAGTTAATTCCTTTAACAAAGTAGGTTACAGTAAAAGTCTGTGTTAAACCTCCTTAGTTAAATTGACATTTGATTCTGAAATGTCATACTTACGTTTTATGTTAGAGCTTTGAACTTTAACTCTTTCCATTTCTTCCATTGCCTGAGCAGAGAAAGACAAAGTGTTAGAACATCACAAAACTGAAAACTGTTTCAGAAGTGCTGTTAGAAGGAAGTAAATGCTTTACATGCCAACCAATAACATGTTGCACCAAAAATTAGCCTAAATGTAGATAATGGTGTGGATTCATTTATCTTTAGTGCCATCCAGGTAACTGCAGGCCACTAAGGGAAGAAATCCTAATTCCTGATTATATTTCAACAGCTAACAAAAAAAAAAAACAAAATTTGACTCACCTGCTTTAGCCCTAACTTCTGAGCATTAAGTTCTTCCTGTTTTTTTTCAAGTTCCTCCCGCTGTTTCTGTAACTCGACTGACTTCTTGTTGATGTCGTTCTCCTCGTTGACCAGTTGCTGTTCGTACTCTCTGAGCTCTTCATCAGTGTACAATGGGTTCTGATCTAAAGTCTGTGGAGACAACAGGTGTGTGAGGTAGTGTCAAGGCAGGGAATTAAAGGATGGAATTAATGTAAAAAATAGGATACATGTCAGATGTTATGACAAAATAGCAGTTGTCCAATTTTCTCAAGTGGTGAAAAACTGACTTTAAAATGACAATATTAAATTAAGAAATCTTCAAACGAACTGTTTAGTCTACTGCTACTTGTGTGATTCTTAGGTCAGCATTTTGCTCACTAGTGTCAAGACAGCAGAAATTTGACTTATGATTAAATTAATATTGATAAAATATGTAAAACATACAGCAATTTTCACCTAATCTTGACACAATCTGGTGAACCTAATCTTCCACAGAAAAGCTGAACATTTCTGTCTCTTACCTCCCATTCATCTTTTTCGTAGAACTCCTCCTTCTTAGTGGCTGCCATGAACTCGCTCAGTGACACAAGTCTGTCTTTGTTGGTGTCCACCTGAACATCAACACATGAAACAACTTTAATCAACAACTTTAGGATTATTGACTGGCCACATAAGCCTAAATGAAAGCCTCAACATTTTATTCAAAGCTCTAACTCTGTTTCCTACTGGGCCTGCACAATGTGAGAAAAATCTGTGATGTGCAATAACAATATAGAATATTGTGATGATGAGAGGACTTTTGATGAATAAACACTGAAGCATATTCCTGTCTTTTTTACTTTAAAAGCTACACTGCAAACAGACCCCAAGAAATTGAATAAAGAAGTTAAATAAGTAATTTCAAATGCTTGTATTGAAAAAAATGCATATTGACACCCCACCAATTAAACAGAAAATGAATTCAAATAAGATGTTATGACTGTAAGAAGTATAGTTTCCCCCACTCCTTTTAATGTTTTTCTTTAAACAAAATACAAGAATCCCTTGACAATTTCCTCTCTTTCCTAAATTATGGTGCAAAGCACTACCAAATTGGCACCAGTTAATGTGAGGGTAGCTGACAGCTAAATGGGGCTTCATCTGATTGGCCACATGGTGTGAATGCATGACCCATGTTTCCAGGGCTCCATCTGGTAAGTTAATTGTTTGCATGCTAAGTGTGGATGCATGGCACATGTAAAAATAAAAAATAAAAATAAAAAAAGATTTTTCCAATTCATACAGTCTTTTTCAGTGCGTGTATTGTACATGTTCACACTGAAATGATGAGGAGAATGGGATTTATTATTTAACTGGCAATCTTTGCACAGTTCTCTGTACAATTTGTCACATGCTTTGAAGAACACCATGTCCATCAATTTATGATATGGTTGACACCCCACTGCTTAAAAGAAATAATGCATTTTTGTACCTATTTGTTAAAAAATTGATTGACTGGGGGTGGGCGCTGAAACTTAAGGTCTTTTTTAAAGTCACACATTACATTTCAGAAACTAATTCTGCATTTTTGCTAAGATATGAATTTGCTCTGTTTTTGTGGTGGCTCACCTCGTTCATAACATGCTCCCTCATTCGCAGTCTCTCTTCCTCCATCTCAACCATATCGTCCTCTTCATTTTCAGGGTTGTACACTTTCTCCAGCTTGAAGAAACACACAAATTTAATTTATAAGGCTTCCTTATTGACATCTTACATTATCATAAACCATGCAGAACCAGAGTTAGAAAAAAATCTAATAAATAATCATACCTCTTTAGTGAAAAGAGCCTCAAGCTCACTCTCATCGAAGAAGCCGTCTCCATTGCTGTCTGCAATGGAGGCGTATAAGATCAATGCATACAATGTGTCAGGTTATATGGAACTGATGTGCAATACAGATCATGTGACCACTTGTCAAACACAACGAGCTGCAAAGCTCAATCTACGAGTTTTGTTACTCGCATGTAGAATCACTTCACAATGCTACACTCACATCTGGTCATGTATTAAAAAGAGACTACAGTGGAAATTCTGGAATTCTACAGCTCTTCTTGGATGCTGAGGAAAACACATGGTCTTAGGTTACCGTGCATTTTGAAGAAAGTTTTGGGATCAAAGTCTTCTGGGTCCAAACCGTCTGCCTCCTGCCACACCTCTTTGAGCTGGTCCTCACTGCCCTGCACACATACAGTGTCAACATTTCTCCTTTTCTTCTCTTTTTTGTATCTTACTGCCAGTTGGCATCTTTATTTTGTGGACTATTTTTTAGCACTGTTATAGAATAGAAGAATAGAATAAAACTTTATTGATCCCTTCGGTGTAAACCTCAGGGAAATTGTTGAATATACACATCTAAATAGAACTGGCTCTATTGACTGTTGCTCTTAATAACCTGTCATGTTTCCCAAATAGCATTATTCAGCATAAATTTACCTTATACCACCTCATAATAACTTAGAATCAAACTGAGAATAATGTAAGAAATAACAGAGAATTCACCCCAACGCTACCATACTGAGTGACTTGCAGTCTCTATTAGCATTCTGAATGAACATCATTACAGCAGGTGTCTTACAGGGTGGTTAACTTTGGGATGGTCGGCGTGTTTCTTCTTCATCTCCTCATAGTGCTGCTCTTCCTTCTTGCGCTCCACCTCATTCAAGTTCTTCAGGCGTTCCCTTCTCTCGTGTTCCTTCATTATCTCGTACCTCTTGAACTCATCATGGCGGTCCTTGTCGTAGTTCTCCAGGTCTTTGGTTGCCTACAAACAGAAAACAAAAAGTCAAAAAAGGAACCTCAAATCTGGATTGTACAGATTTGTCCACCAGACTGGAACTGTTTGATTCTGTCCAATATGCTGTCTTGTCCCATAGAGAATTAAACTCAAGCATTTCATGTCCCATGCAGATCGTGGATCAATCAGTACCATGCATCATGTGTTGGGTCACTCATGGGCCACTATAATAGTTACACTTTGCCGGTACTAGCTTGAACCCCTTTTGCCTTCAGATCTGCCTTCACACAATAGCACCACGCAGTTGTAGCAGATTTGTGGGCAGCACAATCTGCCACATCCAAAAGGTGCTCTGTTAGACTGAGATCTGGTGACAGCGGACGCCATTTGAATACAGTAAATGTATTGTCGTGTTCAAGAAACAAGTGCGAGATATAAGCTTTGTGACATAGGAGGTCATTATGGTGCAAGTAACCATAAGAAGATGAGTACGCTGTGCTCATAAAGTCACAGGCATAGTGAACAAAGACACTCCGGTAGGCTGTGATGTTTAAATGATGCTCAGCTGATAAACACTATTACACCACCATCACCAGCTAAATTGTTGCAACAAGGCAGGATGGATTCATACTTTGATGTTGTTTACACCCTGCCATCTGAGTGTCACAACAGAAGATGAGACTCATCGAACCAGGTGACCTTTGTAATCGCCTATTGTCTCATTTTGGTGAGCCTGTGTCCATTGCAGCCTCAGTTTTCTGTTCTTAGCTGACAGGCGTGGTCCCTGGTGTGTTCCTCTTTTACTGTTGCCCACCTGTTTCAAAGTTCAACATGTTGTGCTTTTGTCTTCTGCATACCTTTGGAATGAGGGGTTACTTGAATTACTTGTTTCCTTTCAATCAGCATGAACTAGTCTGGCCATTCTTCTCTGACCTCAGCTGTCATTACCAAGGCATTTTCACACAGAGGGTTTTCTTTTTCTGACCATTCTCTGAGATTACAGTAGGTTAGCAGTTCTGAAATATTCAAACCAGCTCCTCTGCCACCAACAACCATGCTCGGTTCAAAGTTACTTAAATCCTATTTCTTCATCATTCTGTTGCTTGTTCTGAACTGCAGCAGATGTGCTGAGTTTCTGCCACATGATTGACTGATTAGATATTTGCTTTCACAGTTGGTTGAACAGGTGTACACAATAAAGTTGCCAGGAAGTGTATGTTTGATAGTCCCATCCTACAGCCCTGCAAGTGCTCACCTGGTATACTGTGTATGACAATGTCATGGCAGTTGATAGTTAGGCGTCACATCGAAGTCTCACAGATAAAGCAAACACTCATTTATTACTTAGTTCCCAAGCAATCCCAAGACATGACTAGTTATTCAGTGACTAAAGAACAAAGCTCAACACTACAGAGAATTAAAAGCTACACAAAATACTGTCAGGATTTATGTGTACTTGATTGTACATTTGACTGTAAAAACCGAGAAACGAGAAAGTTGTCTAAGCTGACTTCCCCATTATTTCCTCTTTGTTCATAGGACACATGTAGCACTCTCAAAAGCAATGAATTTATTTCTGGCAAGCCTAACCTCTACAGCAAGCGACATAGAGCTGTTGAGGTCTCCAACTGATAAAGTCTAAAACTGAAAAAGGCCAGACTCGTTAACAGAGGTGACATGTAAGCTGTCCTAAGAAGTTGATTTTATTGTGTGACACCTGTAATTCTCTATGCACTCATCCATACTCATTATAGCCAAAACATAGGCCAAGGTGTTTTTTTTTGTTGTTTTTTTTTTTTAAATTATAGGTGTGACTGTGTTGCAGTTATATGTCAATAACAGCACGACGGTACCTACAAACAGTGCACATGAGCAAGGTCAGTATAAACAGACATGTGTGTGTACCGATTTGATGAGGCGGTCCAGGTCCTCGACCTCAAAGGTGTCTGGGTTCATGTGGTTGAGATGCTCAAACTGCTTCAGTAGGGCCTGGCGGTCAACTGTATGGCCTGCAAGGAAGGGAGTAGTTGGACTGAATGTTTAGCAGTAGTTCTTTACTTACTTTAGTGAGTACTCACTAAAAACTGAAAATGTGCAATTGTATTACTGAAAACATCAACTCAGTGGTTCCTCCTTCCCATGAGTTTCACACAGTCATGCTTCAGCAAGTTATTTAAACTTAAGATCAAAGTTGCTCTGGAAAAGACTTAGATAACACACACAAAAAAAGCGTAAATTTATTTCTGTTTTTAGCTGACTGACTTCAACCTGTACTTTTGTTCTGTAAAAAAAACTTGTGTTAACAGTGATGTACTCTCAATCTATGTAAGTTTTCTTAAGCAGTTCCCTCTGGTGAGCAGAAGTCACCGTTGCGTGAAGTATGCAGAGTTTTACATCACGTTCCTTAGCCTACATTTGACGATGACCCAACTGCTAGCTTGTATTACCGAACTTGTTGTGCAACTTCAAGAGGCATAGGTTTGTCAGTGACATATCAGTAAGAAACTCACCATTCCCTTCCTGGATGTCATGTTTGGCTTTGATGAGCATCCGCAGCCTGTTCATCTCCTCCCTCTTCAGCTCATCCAGCTTAGTCCGAAAATTGTGGTGAACAAAGTCCAGCTCTTTGGAAAGTTTGCCTTGCTGCAAGTAAAAAGTCAACAAACAACCATTCAATTAAAAGTGCTCAGTTGTGTAAACACCTTACAAAATAACAGGCTGTTGTGTGAATCCGTACCTTAATGTCATCCATATTGGCATTTTTAAGCTTTTCTTTAAAGTGGGGGTCTTTCTCGAGGTATTCAATGACTTCCCTGAGGTAGCGGTCATAGTGCAGGCCGGTGTCCTGAAAAATAAACCACATTTAACTTGTTAACACCTAACATTAGTTTGGAACAATATGAATCTCTGACACTTGGCTTAAAGGTCCAATGTGTAGGATTTAGTGGCAGCTACCTGTGACACTGCAGAGTGCAACCCGTAAAAATGCAGAACATGATAATACACGAATGAATCAGCAGAATTATAAATACTACATTCAATTTATGCAAATAAATCCTTCTAAGTCTTACACTGAACCTTCAGCTGATGTTGCTCAACTTAGTTTTTTTCCAACAGCTTTTTATCGTTAAATAGGTGTACATTCCATATCAGAAAGCCCTGCCCGACATAGTGGAAGGCAAAATAGTTTCCTTGTTTGGAAGCCTCTAAGGTGTTTTTTTGTAATTAGCTATGAGACCCACATTTAAGTGCTATATCTGTGTTTGACAATGTCAGAGTGACTCACAGCACTCTGGGGTGGCCCCAGCTCCTCCTCTTTGGGATTTTGTTTGGCCTTGTCCACACTGATAGGCACTGACTGGATACACAACCACAAACTGAGCAGAACCAGCCCACAACGGGCTAAGGCTTTACTCCTCACCATCTGGTTAGGTAGGGCCTACATAAAACAGAGACAAGAAAAAAAAAAGTGAGTGACAAGGATACATCACTATTTTCTGCTGTTACATGAGGAGCGCTACATCATGGTGTAGGGTTCAGTGTGTGGAGCCAAGTCAGCGCAAGCAGGTGCTTTATCTATATAAAAGACAACACCCTCAATTTACCAGGCATTGCGAAAAGGGTACAAGCTGCAACTACACCTGGAGACAATGTGGGAATAAAGTTAAGCACGTCAGTCCTAATCCTAAAAGCAACTCAACCACAAGAAAAATACTGTGCAACACACGTGTTTGGAGGATAAAGACACAGCCACGCTTCAGCCTTAAGAACTTCGTAGCTGTGAACCTGAACTCGCAGCAATGAATGAGAAATACACACTTGACAATTTTGTGATTTAAACAGCAGGTTGTTTAGTGAGGATTTTGTAGTGAGGAAGGAAGCTAATTCATCATCACACAGATGTAGAAAAAACACAAACAAGCCGCTTCATATTTAGTAAATTGCGCTAACAAATTACAGTTTATGTAAAACAATACTTACTAGTAAAGTGGCGGCTACTCTGAGTTATTCCTCACCGAGCTTTTACCGTTGACTGTTCCTCAAAGTACCGGAGCTTGTTTACAGCTGTCATCTGTCTAACCACCAGTACAAGCCTTTAGTCCTGTGGCCACAACCTACAAAAAAAAGTCTGTGTTCACCATGGTAACGTCCCGCCTCCGGCCACTCTGATTGGACAGAGAAAGTACACTTTCTTTACAAAACAGTCGCGTTGAGAGCTGATTGGACACTGCGGCTGTCAGTCAAAGTGAATCCGCCTCAGCCCGTGGCTTAAGGTGCGTTGAGCCAAACTGTACGTGGCGTTCAGTCAACCCCAGACGAGGGCGGGGTTAGTTTTGCTGTGAGAAGGCGCAGCATCATTCACAGTTCAGACTGGATTTCACACATTTGTGAATATGTTTGTATAACCACAGCACATGTCCGGGACAATAACTGAGATGGAGAAGTATTTTAATGGAATCAGCTTGGTAAAAACTGGAGCCGGTACCTGATAATTACTTAAAATAGGAGTCAGGCATTTAAAATTTTAATCAGTAAAGATGCAGCAAATGCAGGCTACAACTACATACATTGCAGTGAAAGTGGTATTTTAATGTAACTACTAATGTAACCAGTGACTATCTGTTAAACACATTTAAAGTACTTATAATTACAGTATTTCCCAATAAAATGTGGTGAGGTCGAAAGTTTAAAGAGGCAGAAAACAGAAATACAGAAGTTAAGTTAAATTAAAAAATTAAACTTAAGTAGCTTCCGCCACTTGAGTAAATGTGCTTACAGTGCCTATGAAAAAGTATTTACTGCCCCCTTCAAGACTTTCTCTTTTTAGTTCTTTTGAACACATCAAATCATATTCAATTTGGTGCTAGAAGTCACAAAACACCATGTTTATGCCCAGTAGAATTATCATAAATTGATTTTTTTAGCTTAGTTTTTGTTTTGTTTTGTTTTGTTCATACAGAGTTATGAAAAACGTTTTCAGAATGTTTACATAAGGCTGAAAAAGAAAATGTTAAAGTTAAGTGAAAAAGGTGAGCTAAAATTCTTTGTAAACTATTTTTTTTTCTCAACTAACTCAACAAAAGTTCAGCAAAAATCAGCAGAAGTGTAAAATACCAGTGCATTCGAATGCCACCATTTCGTTTGTATATGAATTCTTATGAGACTTAAGATTATCATTACTGATGTAATAAAATATATTTTATCGTCTTGTATCTGTTGTTGTAATGTTGCTATGCCTCATATAATGACTGCACATCCGTCCAGAGTTCACAGCGACGCGTCCTGTGAGGACACCGGCCGCTGTGCTCCACACGGCGGCGCTGCTCTCCCGGTGAACCGGCCTCAAACAACGATCCAGCCGAGCAGGAACATTATCCAACTGTGTCCAACCAAACCTCCAGCAACCACCTCAGCAGGAACTGACGTCTCCTCTGTGCAAGTGGATGGAAAAATGCAGCTGCAGGAAAAATGGCTCCAAACACCGCACCGCTGAAAGGTGAGGAGTAACCCGTTTTACAGTTCACGTCTGCGGGTAAAAGTTGGAGCTCGTAGTCGCCTGATATCAGCGGCTACGGCTTCGTCGTATCCGAGCATTTCCCGTTTGAGAAAAGCTGCGTTTCTTCCTTGTTGTGGGTAGTTGGCAGGACCAGAGCAGTTGCCTGGGTACTTTTAAATTATTAAACCAGTGTCCTCCAAAGTGCGGAGCAGCCGTGTAAGTTGTTGAGCTAAATTTAGTCGCGTTTGTGTTTCTGTGGACCTTTTGTGCGCTTCTCGAGTGTTCAGGTTTAGCAGGTTTAGCGGCTAACTTAGCATCCAACAAAGTTAAAGTTCCCAAAACCCGCTCTGAAAAGTACCAAGGAGAGACATTTCGTCGGCCTAGCTGGGTCAGTGTGCAAGTTCAGTCTTGTTTTATGTGAAAAGTCACTGTTGTTTCATTTTTACAACAGTAAAGCCTTTATTTTAAAATGCGTACAGTGTTAAAGCAGCAAACGTTCATGACTTATTGACAATACACATCACTTGGTGTCAGGTGAGCATCAGCCGAGAGGTTAGCTAGCTAGCTGAGCTCTACACAAATAGTGTGTTTTGAAGGCTAAAAAACTCACCAGTGTAATATTTCTTAAATCGATTGTGTTATGACAAACATGTTTCCATCGATTATATTTCTATTGGATGTTTTCCATGTTTTTGCAAAAACACAATGTGTCAAGAGTGCTGGGATCAAGATTGAAGCTAGCTAACAACACTTTTGATCAGATGAAACAATGTGTTCTCTCAAATGTTATTCCAGGAAAAGTGGAAGTTTTCAGACAACATGGACATTATATATTCTGAATATCTACTGCAGCTACTCTGCTCTGAACACTGCAGTAATACAGTCTGAATAGGAGCTGGTTATAAGCAGTGATTACATTTTCCACTGCTTGTCTGTCAATGTGCAGTCCTGTGTTCAACTTAAAGTCCTATAGTTTGGGATATATTTGGAGTTTTCATTGTTTTGCACGCATTTATTTATGCAGATGCAAGATTCAGTAGTTATAACAGTAAACCTCAGTTTCATATCTGTCCAGTTTATTTTGTCATTAGAGATTTCATGTCCCTGGTGCCACAACATGGTTCTGTCAGTTACTTAGTTCTCTTTACAGTGAAGACAGTGTTGGTAGACAACCTGAGACAGAACAAGAATTCTTATTGTCTTGTCTTTTCTTGAGGCAGGCCAAACACATCTTACACATCTGTATTTAAGACCTAGTTACTTATTTCCCTTTGTAGAGATGTTTCGCTGTACTTTGATCAGCTGCTCCGTTTTTTTGCTAAGTTGTGCACTTTTGCGAACTTAAAATATGAGTGCAACCTTAGGCCAACACTGTTCAAACCGTTCAAACTTTATTCTAAACCTTACTGGATGTTCCAAAGTTTTAGAAGCACTAAAATGTGTCTGAATTTTGTAATGTGTGTGAAACTTTACACAGAGTTTTATCTTCGATAAAATGACCATTTGAGTACATACATTTAGAGATCACTCTGTAAATCTAGTTTGTCTTTGATTGAAACACATGCTTTTTTTAAAAATTATTTTTAGAATTTACTTGAAGAAAAAATGAAAGTAAATTGTATGTTTATCATGTGTAGTCATTTATCATGACTTTTGTATCCATTAGCCATTTCACTTAAGTAAGATTTTTTGCTTCAGGCGTGTGGCTTGGATAGTTTTTGTCCTCTGAATACTTTATCAATGCTATTGTCATGCTCAAATGTTGAACTGAGGATTTAGAGGCCAGGGGATCAGCCGTCTTTTCTACAAAAGTGCCGTTTTCTTTTCTTGTATGTCTCCTGTTGCCATATATGGACTTTAACATATGGCTATCTTGATTCAGAATCAGTCCTGTTGATTCTCCTCAGTTCAAGGTTCTCAGCCTTCCTTGAACTGGAACTAAACTGCCCAACGTAGAATAATCTATAGTGCAAAATACTTAAGGAAACCAAGACTAATGTTTATTAAGTTTGATCATATGACACAATTTCTCAGATTAACCCAGTGTTTACACAGAGAATCAGGAAGTAGCTACTGTTTAGTGCTCGGTGCTCTGACTTTTGGCACTGACACTTTGATTTATATCTTTATAAGGTAGGACTTTAAATACAAAGCTGCAGTCTGCCAGAGCATGCATTCTCACAGGGTGCAAAAATCAGTAATACACAGATCTTTTGTCAGAGCGCAGAGAATTAAGCCATCAGTGACAGCATGCACCAAAGGTTGATAACTTTTTGCATGCGTTTAGTTTCCCCAAACAGTATTCTTGACAAAGTTGGCACTAAGCTCCCCAAGTAAAATGCTTAATGAATGCAGCCACATTGTCACTGCCCGCTGGTGTTCGCACAGCTGATAAGACAATCTTGGGCCATGGTGCTAACATAATGCTAACAGAATGAGAGAAAGCCAGAGGAAGAGAGAGAGAGAGACCCATTGGGCTGTTTAGCATGCCAAATTCCTCAGCTGCACAATAGTGTTAGGCTAGCCTGAGCCCCAGCACAGCCAGCCATCTCCACCACAATGGGAGGGGAAGCTCAGGAGAGGCCGGTGACGCCTGGGGAGAGAAGGAACTCACTCAACCCTGGGGCTGTGATCGTCCGATGAATGGCTGCTTTGAGTAGGCGCTGTGTCATTTTAGGATCACAAAACACTCTTTGCAGCAAATGTTTTTCTCATGTTATATACGTGGGATACTCTTAGTTCCTTCCTGTTGTTATAGGACAACCATGAATAGTATTGATTATCAAGAATGGAATACTCCACTAGTTGGCATTAAATTCCGTTGTACAGAAATAATTAAAAGGATTGTATAGGGGGAAAAAAAGTAATATGATGATGAGATTTGGTCATAATGGACGTCTTTCACATATTTCTCATACTTTCTAGAGAAAATGATGAAATGATTACAGACAGATTAATCAGTAATGAAAATAAATGAACTGCTGTCTTGCACAGTAGCACCCAGATTTGTAAGTTCACCGCATGTCAATAAGTGGCGTGAGTCATATGTCACCTCCTTGTTATAAATCATATTGTGAATTTATTTGTTTAGTCTTTTTTTTTTTTTTTTTAAAGGTATGCGGTCCATCCGGCTGCTTGGCTAAACAATTGCAATGCTCACCTTGTGATGTCAAAGTGCATAGCATAAAAGTACATGAGAAGAGGAGAGCTTGCTATGACCTAATGTCAGTTCAGATGTGATGCTGGTAATGTAGCCTGTGCTAGTTATGTGACCTAACTGATGCCCTTGGCTCCAAAGCAAGCACAAGTAGTTATTGGCTGTGTATATATGACAAATGGTAGTTGATCAATAAGCAATTAAAGCATGCTCAACAAAGCCTAGGGAAGCTTTCACTGAAGAACTGCAAATCAACAAACTCTATTCTATGCAGGTATCTATTGCCCTTGGGTGGCTGTGGGATGTACATTAATTGCATGGCTGTTTGTTTGATCCCTGACTCCTGATTCTCTGCTTTGACTGTGTTTAACCGTTTATTTATATTTTTTCCCTTTCTTTTAAGGTGTTTAAAGACTTGCTCCACAGTTCTTTGGGCCACACTGACTTAACAGCCGTCATACTCATGGCACCTTCCTCTTGACAGAATGGCCCAGATATCAAGTGGTAATGGGTTTAAGCTGGATGTCCCCCAGCCAAAGGGGACTGTGGGTAAAGAGGAAGCCCTCCGCATGGAAGAAGAGGCTTTAGCAAAATTGCAAAGGGAGAAGAGACACACTCTTTCAACGTCAGCACCCTCATCCTCCTCTGGAGCATCCTCATCCACCTCGAAACCAAAACCATCTATATCTACCACTACTGCTCCTCATCCTTCACCCTCTACCAACAGACCAGACAAGGACCTCATTGTCTTCCCAGAGACCAAGAAACAAGTCGAGCAGGACAAGTTCAGGGATATTGATGTGGAGAAGCTGACCAATGAGGAACTTGAAAAGCTCCTACTTGATGATAACTTTGGGGCTAACAGCAAAGTGTCCCGCCCCTCACTGCTGGGGTTTAACCTCAGTGCCTCCTACCCTGGAGGCCACGTCTGTAGCTCCTCTCCTTTCCAGAGCGGCCAGTGGACACCTGTTCTGTCCACCCCATCTAGTTCCAGTGTGTCCACTCCCACCCATCAGCCTGCCCCATTATTCCCCTCTGCTCCTTTCCCCAAACCAGGCACATTTCAAAATGGTTTCACTCCAGCCATGCCTCCCTTCATGCCCCTGCCAGCGCAGCAGCCGTCCTTCATGACTTTCACTCCCATCCAGCCTGCTGCTGCAATGGTCTTCCCGCAGCCAGCTGTGGACCCAGAGATGGCAAAACTGTTTGACAAGATTGCCAGCACATCAGAATACTTGAAGAATGGCAGAGTGGCCAGCACTGACGTAGATTCCACTCAAGCAGGCACAGCCTCTCTGGCACCCAACCCACCACCCCAACAGCCAGCAGTGGTGGAATCTTCTCACATCAGCCGCTTTGACTGGCTGGATCTAGACCCACTCACAAAGCGTAAAGCTGAGAATGAGGAAGCATCCCCAGCATCAGGAGGTACTGCACAGACAGTGTCAGGAGCTCCTGCAGGGGATCCTTGGGACGCAGTGCTTGAGACTGAAGGAAACAGTAGTAGCAGCAGCCCCAAACCGGAGGGGAAAGCTTCACTGTCAGTTCGGTCACAGCACAGGAGGGCGTCAACAGGTGCAGCCGTCACGAGGAGTCACTCGCTCAACATCCCAGGGACCTCCTCTCAGCATAAACCAAACAATCAGGTAGGAACGCAGTGAAACGTAAATGTTTTATAAATGCAAATGTTTTACCTTTAGGATTTCAGGCAATCAGCAGCGGTCCAGAGGCTTTTCTAGAGAAGTCTTGTGACATGTCATAGCACAAGCACTATTTATCACCTTTTCACCAACTCAGCCAGTGTTGGTCATTTATCATTCCCAAAGCTGCCCCTTTTCTACACTCGGCATTTTAAGATGCCAACACTGTAGACAGCATACACACAATTGTGAAGAATTAATAGGGAAATGAAACTGCGGCTCTCAAAACATGAGTGTGAGTAAAGTTTAGTCCGAACGGATGATCTGCTCATTCAGTCAAAACACCCATCAACATCTTTCTTACAAACGAGCATATTCCTCATTCATTCACTAGTACAAGCAAAGCATCCTTTTTACTTCTCTTCCCTGTAATTAAGTGTTTCACTGTGGTTAGCTAGCCACCATTTCACCCCACAATTTCCCGTCAACCACATTTTGAGATTAATTTTGCCATGCAAGTCAGGAGTGATCTAATTTCTTGAAATGAATATTTAGAGCATTCATTTGGGACAGTGCTGTGGGCGAGTGGCATGGGATATTGTTGCTTTGGATTTTTTTTTTTCACTAAAACTGAACAACCATCTGTCATTTGGCTGGTAGCTCTAAGTTGAGATGGTGAAATGAGACAAACGCTTCAGTGTAGAGGAGTATGGCTGTACTGAGACCTACCAGATAAGTCAATTTGTCATCATATGTCTTCTGCTTTCCTCAGAATCTGGGAGTCTGATTAACCTGAAGCTGTCAGTCTTCTGCCTGGAAATGAAAACTTTTAACATGCTTTATTAGAAATGCTTTTCTAACTACTCAACAAGTTCCTCTAGGATATTTACATAGGGAGTCTGTGATGAGACCACTCTCTACAGTTGGTAGAAATCAGGGATGTATGTGCTTTCAAAGGTACAAGATACAACAATACTTAGACCCTCTCATTAAAATAATATATTTCATTACCGCCAGTAGTCAAAAACTCTATTGTCTATAACCAGTGGTCTGGATTTTTAAGATGCTGACAGACTGTTTTGTTGGAAATTATGTACATTTTTTTTCTCCTTAGGGTTATTGAAACGCCCCTTCCAGCTCATTGTGTTGTAATGTGTCATGACCAAACAATTGGTCTCTGTGGCATGTTTCTTACACCAAGGTGATAATTAACCTCACAGCACCATATAAGCCCCTGACTTCCAGAATTTCCCATCGTTGCAGAACACCAGGAAATTTGACACAATTTGAACATGGTGTTAGGAAACATCATGGTGTGGAAAAGTAAAATAAAAAAAAATGTAAAGAAATGTTATGGGAAAAGTTATAAATAAGACCAGCCAGAGCCTTCAGTGTTCTGCTCCACTTGGTCTTTCAAGTCCATGTGTGGGATTCTACAGACGTATACTTTACCTCTTATAAACAACAACCTGTCCAGTCTGTACACCCAGTTGTGTCTTCCAGGGTTGAGGAATGTCTTTTTCCTTGAAAGGGTGAAACAGTGCTTGTTTACTCTTGCCTGTATGTTATGTCTAGGTTCAAGCATGTGTTTTTTGGTGAGACTACCGTGTTGTGTAACTTGAGCCTCTTTAGCCCAGTGTTCTTCTAATATGTCCCTCCACACTCTCACTTTTTATCTGCATCCACAATGATGATCTTTGCGTATGACGTTATGATGGGATGTGTGTTTGCTTGCTCCTCTTGTTCCATCTGCTCGGCTGGCAGCCGGCACCCATGTTGTTATAAACAGGAACAAGTCCTTACAGGTCCCCCGTGCCCTACAGCAGCAACAGAATGACCTAACAAATCGGCCTCATGAGTCGATGTGCCAGCTCCCCTCTTATTAGACTCATCCGAAAGACACGCTGCACTTTAGTTTTTATACACGTGCTGTACTTTGAGCAACTGTGATTAGAATCTGTGATGCAAGCAAATAAGTCAACACTTTATGTATCTGCTTGATAATAAAGTCTTCCCGTTGTGGGTGAAATGTTTTATGGTTTTGAAGCAGTAGGTTGAAGTTTTCAGTCTGTAAACATGGTAGCTCAATACAAAGCATATAACAGCACAGCTAAAAAGGGCAATTTAGATTTGCATAAAAACAAGAACATAAGAATGAAACTAGACTTCAAACCACAGTGACTATACACAGCTGCTACTAAACCACTGAAAGCTGAACACAACAAGTCAGAAATGATTCTTTCTCTTGAGCCATTACGTTTAGAGTGACAGCACTTCTTGGTGGAGGCAGTGGGTTCTCGAGTTTTGGCCGTGTTCTCCTGGAAAGACTAAAATACCCTTTCCCCTGAAAATAGTTGTTGTCTTGCTTTCCTTTAAACTAGTGCTTTTGCATCATTCTTGTCCACATATGCTGTATTATTTACATTGCTGCAAAGCATTTTTTGAAGCATGCAGTTTGATTGTAGATTGTAAACTGCTTTGGAGTGTTTTCCTGCATTTTCACGATGGAATATAACAGATAAGCTTGTAGACTTGTGACACTTTGCTTGAACTTGGTTAATCTTAGAACTGAATCTGTCCTGCTTTTAGTTGCTTTATCATTATGTGGTGCTATTGTATAAAAATGCATACTTATTTGAAAAGTCGTAGTGCAGAAATATAAGCTCCATTAGTGTTGTCAAAGAGCATTGCATTAATTCGCTCTATAAGAGAGCAAAACCCAAATGACAAAAAGCAACCGTGGACATTAGGGTTATGTAACTATATATGGATATGAAAGACAGATATGAAACTGCATGCTATTCTTAATCTAACATTTTACAATGTACATCACTCACTTTATTGCCACAAATGTTAATCAATAAATATGTAATAACAGCAGACATATTTAGTAAATACAGACTGTGTGTAGGCTGGTTGTCACAGAGACACTGGTGTTAAATTACAGCACACATCCAGACATCAGACACCTCTCCACCCTTCCTCTAAAAGCTTAATGAAACCTCCAATAGCACGGCAGCTTAGAGTTGCACTGTGGTTGCAAGTTGACTAAATGTAAGCTGATATGTTTGTACAAGCCCCATAAGTAGTCTCGCTACTTTTGCAAAACATCTCTTCACTTAATAGCCCACAGTTTTCATTTGAGATCTATTTGTACCAGCAAATGTTACAAATCACCAGACACTTCCTGAGGCATGGTTATGTTTTTTTAACTCTCTCTTTTTTCTTTTTTTTTTAATTTTATTTTTTTATTGCAGCTATGTGTCACATGAGGTTTTTTTCAATACAGTTATTTCCAAGATGAGTGTTTGGATGACTGTAAGTCAGCCTGAAGTTGCCAAGCCTTGTTATAGTTTTCAAGAATGTGCTGTAAGATGTGGTAGTGTGGGCAGGAGGGTATAAAATGGAACAAATGAGCTTGAGCTTAGAGAATCAAGCTATCTGCTGTCAAGTCTACCCCTCTGCCTCTCTCTGTCCACCTTAATCGTATGTCTTTTTCTTAAAGTCTTTATTTACTCTTATTTTCTCATCACTTTGTGGCCTACTCCTCCCCTTAAGCGTTCCCTGTTTTCTGTAGGGATATGTCTTGCTCGTATTCTGTCTTCACACTCTCAGTTTGTTACTTGTAGCTATTGACTGCAGATGCTTAAGACCTTCATCACTTTACTTCTTTCTTTCTCCCATAGTTCACAGTCTCTTAAAGAATTTTCAGCCTTTGATTTGGCCTTTGGAAGTAAAGCCATAGGTTAGTGATAATCAGCAGTCTACCTTCAGCACAGCTGTCACGCCTCACAGCACCAACATCTGTTCAGACCATGCTCTTACTGTTTGCAGAGCAACACTAAAAGTTAAGGCATCATTGAACATGTCTGGTTTGAGATAGATTCAAATTACTAAATCTCACATTTGATTCAGATGTGTGCATAAACTGTCAGAACTGACAAAGCCGTACAACTCTACAGAGAGCTGAAAAAATGGATGAAAACACAAAGCAGATTTGTTGTAAATTATATGATCAGTCAAATTGTTATGGTTGAATACATTGTTTATATTGTAAATTATTCTGAGATTTCGCTAATAAAATGCTAATGATGAACAGTGGGAAGGTTGTTAACAGAGATTAGGTCTGATTCTGTGGTGTCGTGTTAAAACACACATTGAAATACTTCATTGCAGACTGGTTGAGCATGTGTCTGCTTGTTTGCGCTTGCATTGTTCCCTACAAATGACCTGCTGGCTGATTTTTATCTGAATATGTATTGTGATTCAAGAGCACTGTGTGTGTAAGAGAGAAAATGAAACCTGCACAATGCCAGCATGCATTTTACTTTTTAAAAACTTGACTACACAGTCAAATCTCTTCTTCCCCCAGATCCAGAAGCTATTTTGCATGTCTCACACCTCCAGACCATCTACCTCCAGACTCTCACTCTTTTTCTTTTGTTATTTAATGACGCTTTGTGCCCAAGTATAAGATGCTGCAAGATGTATAACACTCACAAAATTTTCTCCCACCAGACAAATGCATAGTTGGGAGATGCTGCAATGCAGGGATGAGACATGGATTCCAGTTAAATATGTGACTTGCTGGGCAAACAGCTCTGTGTCTCCTAACCTTTGACCTTGTTTACTGGCAGAAAACAGGAGAAGTATTGTGGAAGAAGCAGTGAGTAAGCAGGTAGAAAGAAGATACTAATGCACACAATAAAACCCTTGCTAACAAGTGTTAAGGGAATATGTTAAATTAGGCATTGTTTTTGAAAGCTTTCTCTACACATGGCTGTGGTTTCTTCCAGTAACAAAATAGCTTCTTCATTAAAGTCTCTGTGATTGTTTTCTAAGGCAAGGATTTCACTATATCACAGGAAGTATGAGTTGGATAGCCATCAGTCACTTCCTTATTGAAAGAAGAAGTAGATTTATGTTTTCACAGCAGCTAGTTCCTCTGATGTAACCCTCAAAGCTTCTCACAGCCACTTAGTATTGTTGATGAAGGTTAAACCAAA